TCTGCTCTCTCACTGGGGCAAACAAAAATGTGAAAAATGTCAACGTGAAAAGATGGAAAGTTATTAGCAAATTAGACTATGATTCCCAACCCACCACACCGCAGGAAGAATCCTTAAAAAAATCCCCAAAACTCAATGTAGTCTCTTTCTAAAAACATAGAGAATTAAGTACTGGAGAAAGTGTGGGAAAACTGTCACTCTCAATAGTGCCGGTTGGGATATAAATCTATACACCCTTCTAGAAGTTAATTTTGCACTCTCTCTCGACACAAGCATGCACACACCCTTCATGTGTGTGTGTCTGTGTACATAGCCTTATAATATATTCTTTGAGCTATCAATGACTCTACAGGAAATAACTGGACAAAATACGTGTTTAAGGATATTCAGCATGAAACTCTTTATAATACAAAAATTATAAACTACCTAAGATCCAATGATGCAGGATGGGCTAGAGCACGTCCACACGCTGGAACACGGTGCAGATTACAGAGTGTGTTAATGTGGAAAGATGTTCACCATATTCCAGCAACTGACAAAAGCAGTCAACAAAATGCACATATAAACAGTCATTTATTCATAAATATTTATCAAGCGCCTTGTGTGTGCCAGGTACCAAACACGTCACTGGTAAACAAAAAGAGATCTGTTCCCTGAATCCAAGGAGCTCGCGAGCCTTGCAGGGAGACAGACCAGATACATAACTTCCAGTTATTCTGGTTGGGATAGTAAAGGCACATGCATTCTGAACACAGAGACAATTTATAGGTGTGTACGTATAATATATCCAGCATCAAAGAGAACACAGGCACCCAGCTTTATGGACTAAGTGCTGGTAAGCAGGAGAATACTTACAGCAAATGCCTTGTGATGAACTGAAGTGTATCTATCTTCTACAAAAAGGCTCTAGAGAGAATTTTAAGAAATGCAGTGTAGTTATGGAAAGTCATACACTGGAAGACAAATGTGAGACATTGCAGAACCACAGTAAAAGAACTGGGACAAACAGCTTCCATTCCTGCCAATTCAAAACAGATTGACTAAGATCAAGTACAAGTTCTTCAGCAAATAACCATTCTTCTAGGAGCCCATACTTTTCCCTTTCCCTGCTATTTTGTCTCTGACAAATAATAATAAAGCCTCCCGAAATAAGAAATATCTCACAACTGGGACCAGGCTTAAAGGATTCTGACATTATATGCTCATTTCTTTTAAACTTCTGCACCAAAAATCAGTGGAGTGATGAGAGTCATAAATTACAAAGGGATAATTTTTAACTTTAAAGCACAGCTATCACAACTACCTCAACCAAGACATCAAAGTTAACATTCACCAGTGATAAGACATATCTGTGTCATATAGGTCCCAATACGAGACTGAGAAGGGCACAACTTCACTGTCATGGTATTCTTGCCAAAATGCTTCACCTTCAATTTAATCATGAAAGGACATCAGACAAATCCAAAATAAGGGACATTCTACAAAATAACTGACCATCACTCTTCAAATGTATAAAGGTCATAAAAAATAAAGAATGCCAAAAGGAACGGTCACAAACTGGAAGAGACTAAGGAGACCGGATACCGTAATGCAATGTGGGATACTGGACTGGATCCTGGGCCAGAAAAAGGACATGATGGTGAACCTCAAAGTCTTTAGATTAATTGTATCAACTGTCTGGTTTCGGTATTGCACTATGGAAGATGTTAATAAAGGGATGCTGGTTGAAAGGGACACAGGAACACTCTGAACTATTTTAGGAATTTTTCTGTAATTCTCAAATTATTTCAAGGTATAAGGTGTTTACAAATCATTTCAGATGAATGATACACAAAGATATGAGATGAATCACTCATTATCTGTAACATAAAAACAGGCTACACCCTCCAAAATTGTGCTTAAAAATCCCAATATTTGCAAATAAGGCTTACACTGGAATAAACTGTAATTATTCCATAAAGGCCTGTAATTGCGATAATGTAGAAAATACAGTAATTTTCCTAGGGCACTGAAATCTCTCCAGATAGTCTATTTTATTTTGCCCCTTAATCTTTTTTTTTTTATTCAATTCAACTTACATTTATTTAACATCTACTATGGCCATGTAACTGTGCTAGGGCCTGACAATATTTTGATATATAAGAAATGAACATTTTAGAACACAACAGAGAAAAGCATAGAGTAACAAAACTGGAAGTAATTTTTCACTCCTATACAAGCTAGGAATTAATCCAAACACCCTTTTTAGTGCAAATGTCATAACAGAGGACCCTCACAGCTCACGTGAATCCCCTTCAATAATAATTCAGTGGTTTGACCTCTAGAATTACCTCCAAAAATTATCCTTGGAAGTGTCAAAATGACTCTCTCCAACAAACACTATATTTCTAGTCCTTTTTTTTTTTTTTTCATTTAATCATTCTGTTTCTGGTGCACTGCTGTTTGTAACACAAAATTAAACCACCCAATTCTCTGAGTACCAGGGAAAAGGTTTCACTGGTATAAACCCAGGGAGCTTACTTACTGTCCTAAGAGATCAAAGGCAACATCATGTATGGCCGGCCAGGGTTCTCAAAGTGTGATCTCAGAGCCCGCAGCCTCAACCTTCCCAGGAGGAGCTTGTCAGCAATGCAAATTCTCAGCCCCAGTCCAGACCTGCTGAATCAAAGACTCCAGGGGATGCTGAGCCATCTGTGTTTTCACAAGCTCCCCAGGTGACTGTGATGCACCTTAACTTTGAGAACCATTGATGGAAGCAGAAAGACTGGCCTGTAAATCAGGAAGCCTGATTCTAATCCCTGCTCTACCACTAATCTCAGAGACAGATTACTCAGCTTCTGTGGGGGCTCAGCCTCCTCACAGGACGACCAGGGAACTGGAACAGATCACTGCCACACTCCTTAGACCAAGATCTGATCAATCTAGGAAGGCAGCTCCTCCTATTTCACCACATCTTTCTTTTTCATCAAAATGAAACAATTAAGATTTCTTATTTTCCTCAACTAGTCTCTGAATCATATTTAATATATCTAAAATAAGGGGTGCCTGGCTGGCTCAGTCAGTTAAGCTACTGACTCTTCACTTTGGCTCAGGTCATGATCTCAGGGTCCTGGGATGGTGCCCTGACTTGGCTCCGCACTCATCGGGGAGTCTGCTTCAGGATTCTCTCTCCCTCTGCCTCGCCCCGCGCCCCGCCCCCCGCCCCCCGCTCACTCGCATTCATGCGTGTGCTCTATTTAAAAAAAAAAAAAAAAATTATATATATATATAATGTTTTTAGATAAAATTGTGTTTGCTTCGGCAAAAGCAATACAAGTGCCGATTTTATGGTTTCCTATTTAGTTCTACAGCAAGTCTGTACAGGAGGAATTCCACATAACAACAAAATCTCCAAGAAACCCAGGTACTATAGACTGAATTATGTCCTCCCCCAAAATTCCTGTTAAATCCCTAATCCCCAACGTGATGGTATTTGCAGGTGTAACCTTTGAGAGGTAATTAGATTTAAATGAGATCATGAGGGTAGGGTCTCCCAAGATGAATCAATGTCCTTATAAGAAGGTGAAGAGAGTCCTGAGTTCTCGCACTCTCTGTCATGTGAGGACACAGCAAGAAAGGGGCCATCTGTAAGTGAGGCAGAGTCCTCACTCACCAGGAACCAGTACTCTGATTCAGGACTTCATGTCCTGGAGCTGCGAGAAGTAAATGTCTGCAGTTTTCAGTTCTCCAGGCTATCCTATTTTGTTACAGCAACCGAGCTAAGACACTCACTCAGTGTCCACTCTGGTGTGGGGATCTAACACATTAGGTTATAGCTCAGAAGAACTATGTCCCCATCTTTGCACAAAGAACATGTGTGATCTGACCACAAGAAGTATTTAACAAGTTTGAAAACAAGGAGTTTTAAAATGTATAGATCTAGACACTTCCATTACTGCATAAGAAACACAGCTTAAATTCTTCTCCTATTCACGGATTTATGAACTGGGATTCTTCTCACCACTGTGATACCTGAGAAACCCATCATACAAACCCCTTCTTTGAGATGTGGGAAAGAGGGAGAGCTTAATTCATAAAGGTCAGAGAATTCTCCTCTAACAACACGAACCTAATTGAAGTCGATGTTGGGAGAAATGTCCCACTGAGCAAGTGAATACCCACTAATCCTTGAGACCTAAATCCGACCCTGTATCCTGCAAGCCCTCAACACTGCTTCCCAGGCAGTCAGATATCATTTGCTCTGTGCATCTCCATGTTAGCACTTAGCAAAGTGCACTGTATTTGTTTCTGTATCTGCCTCCACAAGCAGAACCTTAAATCACAGTTTGTGACTAACTCCGCACCTAGAGTGGAGTTAGGGACCAGTGCTTGCTCAAGTGGAACCACTTCACCTTGCTGAATACCAGTGGAACTATGCCCCACCTCGCAGCTTTTCTGTAAATTCGAAATTATTCCAAAATAAAGTTTTTAAAAAGGCACCAGTGGCAACTGTGTTATCAGCAACGATCACACATGCCTTACAGATCCTGCAGGAAGACATCAGCCGCTAGAGAACCTTGCCTTACTGTTTATCAGACATGCCAATAGGAGTTAGTCATCTCGAGTGTAACAAACTTGAAGAATGAGTAACAAACACTTGAGATTTGAATTCTGACCTTAACTTCGGTCACGTTATTTTATCTGAGTTTTAACTGGTAAAAAGGGAATAATTAATCCCTACTCTACAAGATGGCTATGCTAAATGAAGCATAGAGAGTATGCATTAGAAATGTTCCAATCAGCATGTCAGTGGCCTTCCCTACACGGTGTTCCAACTGGACCTAAGTCCTCACCGCAGAACAGGTGCACGCTGTGACTAACTCCACCAGCACTGGCTGTAAAGTTATAACGCAGTCACCATCAGGGCTATAATTACCTATAAGATAAAGAAACCCTACACGCGTGTCAATGGATGCTAACCTTGCCAAGATGCCCTTCCTATTCCTGAACTCCCCAGCGAGACAGAAGGGCTATTCGAGACTCAACCCAACCGACAGGGGTCAGTAGCTCCTGGACCCAGCTCCACCTGACTAATCTCCAGAAAGCGGGCGGGCACACTCAGGACGTGCTCTCCGGCTGGCAAGAGGTGGGTATGCACCCGGGCAAAACCCGCAGCTGCACACAGCGCTGCGCCGCAGCCCCGGGCCTCCCCCTGGCGTCCAGAGCGGCTGACGCCGAGGGGCCAGGACCCTGCACTTGCAGTCGCGCTGCTCTGGGGGACCAGCGCTGGGGGCCGCCGCCCGCCCAGCGTCCCCAACGGAAGGAGGCGCGGGTGGCAGCGGCCCATCAGTGCACCTGGGGGCGACCCGGGAGTGGGCGGGCGGAGGGGGAAACCACCGCCCAGACTATAAACCGACACGTCTGCAGCTCCGCGCTGGGGCAAGCCGGGCGGTAAGAGGCGCCCCACTGCGTGCAGGGGCGCTGACAGCCGGCCCCGCGGGGAAGCCGAGGCCCCGGCGGCCGCGCGAGCCGGGCCGCAGGTTGCAGCGCACTGAGCGGGGCAGGGCGGGAGCGGAGGCCGGCGGCGGCCGGCGGCGGCCGGGCCGCGGGCGGCGGGCGTGTGCCGGGCGAGGCTGGGCGGCGTCGGGAGGGACCGGCGAGCGGGGAGGGGCGGAGGCGGGGGGAGGGGGGAGGAGGAAGAGCGAAGGGCCCTGGCGGGGCTCCCGGCGCCCAGCCGCCCGGGCCCCGGCCCTCAGGCCACCGCCCCCAGGCCCGGCGCTGACGCTGGACGGTCCCCGCCTCCAAACCCCCCGCCCCGGCCAGAGAATAACTTACCTGTTTGCCGACGGAATCGCTCCTGCTCGCCCCTCTGACTGACTCCTCCGGCTCACCGTCTTCCCTCTGGGAGGAAGGGGCGGGACTTCCTGTCTCTCCTTCGAGCGACTTCCGGAAGTTCCCAGGTCGACGCGGTGGTGGACCGAGCGCCGGGCACCACGACCAAAAAAGAGGATCCCGGAACTGGTTTAGCGAAACCCACATCGGGTTCCCTGTTTCTGCCCCGAGGGGCCGGCACACCCACGTGCCGCCTTGTTTCCAGTCCATCAGCTCTTGCCGGAAGCCACGCACTAAGACCGGAAGTCCCACCCCTCCCCGGAGAGGAAAACGGAAGGCTGAAGGAGTCAATCTGAACAAGGGGAGCTGCGTGTCAGGGCGGAAAGCCGCCTGCGTCTGTCCAGGGGGGCACCCTGGGATTTCCCGAGGGTCCCAAAGCGGGAACTCCTGGCCGGTCGTGCCTCCTCCCTACCCCGGCCGTCGCCACTCCGTCCCCTCGCCATAACGGGCCCGAGGACGGCGCGGGGGAGAAGGACGCGGCCCGGCCCCCGGCTGTCCTCCGCCTTGGCCGGGCCCGGGGGGCGCCCGGCGCCTCAGCGGCCCTCTCCTCTAGGGGCGAGGGTTTGGGGCTGGGCTGGGCGCGTGCGCAGCTCCCGCTTGGGAGGAGAACTCGGCTGACTCCAGAGGGGGATCCTCGGAGTCGCAGGCCCTGGGAAGCCAAGAGCGGAGGTCCGACGCTAACGAGGAGGCAACGACGCTGAATGTGGTGCTTCGCCAGTTTGGCAGGAGAAGCTGAAAAGTACTGGGTGTTTAAAACATTCCCGCACGGGCTGCTTTTAGGAACGTGAAGGGCACAGCCTAAAGATGGTTCGGGAGCAAGCACGCCCTGAATACAGTAGTCCCAGCCCCCTCCCGCCCCTGTACAGGAACGTGCATTGACCTCCACTTAGAACCCCTGCTTTGGAAACTCACGCTCGGGCAAGAAGACCGCAGCCCGCAAAGCGCAAGGGCAGAGACCCTGCGTAAAGCGATGGGCAGGGATCCCCTCTTGGGGTCAGATTGTGGAGATACGGTTTGCTGGGGACACCTGTTAATTTGTATTTAGATAACTTTAAGCAATTGGGATTTTAAAACTTTGTATTTATGATTACGGTGATAGGCTCTCTAAACCAAATCATCTCTCCAGTTCAAGTCCAGCTCGATTCTATTTTAAAAATGTGAATACTCAGGTGAAAACATTTTTTAATATTTTCTACAGGGGCACCTGGGTGGCTCAGGTCATGAGATCAGGGTCCTGGAATGGAACCCGGCATGGGCTCCCTGTTCAGCAGGGCGTCTGCTTCTCCCTCTCCCTCTGCCCCTCCCCACCGCTTGTGTGCACTCTCTCTCAGATAAATAGTATATATACACACATATATGTGAATAATTTTCATAGTTGTCATCTGGTCAGATTCCCATTGTAATCCACGTGAATTCTCGTATCTGTCTTCACTGTAGGATATTGCGGGTTAGAGTCGGCCATTCCAAGATCACACAGCCGGTAAAGGTGGGATTCAGCGTTAGGCTCCAGAGTCAGCCTTTTCCAGTCTACCATGCTGACTACGTTTAGTAATAGTGAATTAAAAGTTCTAGAGAAATGCATGGAGAACAATTTTCCGTAGAACAGGCAACTAGCCTGTCAATGTTACGTTTATACCATTAACCAACATTTACTGGGTGAAAACATTACTGGTAAAAAGTAATAAACTAGATTCTTCCTCCAAAGAGTTCACTTGAAAATTACTTAGAATTTACTTGAAAATATAGTACTTATAATCATAATGTCTGTTTTGACAGTGTTAGTCCTGTATGACATGGTGGTACCTCTCTGAACACTAATAGTAGCTAGTGCAGTTCTCCATATGGATTACGCATCCGGTTGGTCTTTGGGTGATTAATCTGCCTTTTTTACCTTGAGGGTTTAGTTAACATGTCATCGTTCTTTCTTGAGCATTGAAATAAAATTCAAGTTTATTTTTCATTCTATCATCCATTATTTTGCTGAAACAGGACTTTAAAAAAAAAAAAGATTTTACTTATTTGACAGAGAGAAAGCAAGAGAGGGAACACAAGCAGGGGGAGTGGGAGAGGGAGAAGCAGGCTTCCCGCGGAGCAGAGAGCCCGCCCGATGCGGGGCTCGATCCCAGGACCCTGGGATCATGACCTGAGCCGAAGGCAGACACTTAACGACTGAGCCACCCAGGCGCCCCGAAGCAGGACTTTGACCTCCTCTTTTTGCTTTATAATGTTTTATTTTGAAATTTAAAAATACAAAAAATTGCGGCACCTGGGTGGCTCAGTTGGTTAAGCGTCTGCCTTCGGCTTAGGTCATGATCCCAGAGTCCTGGGATCAAGCCCCGTGTCGGGCTCCCTGCTCACTGGGGAGCTTGCTTCTCCCTCTCCTCCCCACTTGTGTGCTCTCTCTCACTATCTCTGCCTCTCTCTCAAATAAATAAATTAATTAAATCTTTGAAAAAAAATTCCCATGTTTCCTCCCACCAGATTCTATAATTATCAACATTTTACTATATTTGCTTCATTGTTTTATGCATATTTTTTCAGAACCATTTGAAAAAAGATTGCAAACATGATGTCCTTTTACCCCTACACATGTCAATGTACATTTCCTAAGAACATGTATAGGCTCTTAGCAATACAATTATCAAAACCAAGAAAGTAATGCTGATACAATGCTCTTATATAATAATCAGACCTTATTCATACTTTTGCACCCATTTTTTATCTTGTTCCCTTTATTATATAATTTAAAGGATTTCCAAAAGAGGTTACTGATGAAGCACAGAAAACAAGTAACAAAATGGGAGACCTTAATCTCACTATATTAATAATTTCATTAAGTATTATTGACTACTGCATTAAAAAGAAGAGATTGCCAGAATGGATGAAAAAGAGTATCTTAGCCTCATGTGCTGCTCACGAGATGTTTGTTAAAAATGGTAACTTTCCGTGTCTTCTGGCCTCCATTTGTTTCTGATGGAGCAGAGATCACGCAGATCTTTCCTCCCTTTCATGCTTCCCTATATGTCATTTGTCATTTTTCTCTTGCTACTTTCACATTTTTCTCTTTATTTTTGACTTTCAGTGGTTTGGTTATGATGTGCCTCGCCATAATTTTCTTCATACTTAACCTGCTTAGTGTTTTCTGAACTTTTAACATCTGTAAGTTTATGTATTTCACCAAGTTTGGAAAATTTGGGGTTATTATTTCTGCAAATATTTTTCTTCCCCATTCTCTCTTTTTCTCCTGAAATTCAGTCAAATATATATACACCTCTTGAGATTATATACAACTCACTGAGGCTTTGTCTTTTTGTTTTGTTTTCATTCTTCCTTTTCTCTCAGACCTTCAGATGAATAATTTCTATTGATCTATTTTCTATGTTCCCTGATTCTTGCACAGACCTGCAGTTTTAAAACATTTTTTTCATACTACCCTGACAAGGGCTGCTGCTGTGCCTGATTGGGGGGGGGGGTGCCTACTCCCGATGTAAACAGAGCAACGTGTATGTTCCCTGATTCTTTTTTTTTTTTTTAAGATTTTATTTATTTATTTAATTGACAGAGAGAGAGACACACAGCGAGAGATGGAACACAAGCAGGGGGAGTGGGAGAGGGAGAAGCAGGCTTCCCGCTGAGCAGGGAGCCCGATGCGGGGCTCGATCCCAGGACCCTGGGATCATGACCTAAGCTGAAGGCAGTTGCTTAACCAACTGAGCCACCCAGGCGCCCCTCCCTGATTCTTTCTTCTGCGTTATCTCATCATCTGTTAAAAGCAGCGAGTGATTTTTTTATTTCACATATTGCATCTTTTAGTTCTAAAATTTCTATTCAGTTCTGTCTTACTGTTTCTATTTCTCTTGATGAGATTTCCTATGTTTACTTATTGAAGGCATATTTTCTTTTATGTCTTTGAGTAAAGCTGTAATAAAGCTGCTTTGACATTTTGTCTGCTAATTCCAAAATATAAATCATTTTGGGATTAATCATCAATTTTTTCTTTTTTCTTGATTGAGTCATGTTTTCCTCTTTCTTAAATGCCTAGTAATTTTGAGTTGTGTTCTAGACATTTAAGTAACGTAGATATTATGAATTCAGTTATGTTCCTCTGAAGAGGTTGGTTGTGGTTGATAAAGACTTAACAGGCAGTTATTTGGGCTGTACTCATACTCCATACTGTATCTCTCTTGTTATGGTGGCAACTGAAATCTCATTCAGTTCCCTCAGCCTTAGCTGGGATGCTTGAATCTGCTTCACACTTGCATAGTTCAGAAGTCATATGGCAATTTAGGCAAAGTATGCAGAATTTGGTGTTCTCCCTTTGTGACTCCCCTTTTCAGAACCTCCCTCCCCTCACTTTGCACTAATGTAGTAACCCTGAGCTCTGCTTTCTGGTTCAAGTGGAGGTTTTTGTGGGGTTTTTTTAAAGATTTTATTTATTGATTTGAGAGAGTGAGTGAGAGAGAGAGCACAAGCAGGGGAGAGGGGCAGAGGAAGAGGGGGAAGCAGGCTCCCCACTGAGCAGGGAGCCTGATGTGGGGCTTGATCCCAGGACCCTGGGATCATGACCTGAGCCGAAGGCAGATGTTTAACCAACTGAGCCACCCAGGCACCCCTAAGTGGAGTTTTAAATAAAGTTTAGATGGCCTCTTGGATTTTATTATAATTATTTAAAATTTGAAAGAAAGCATTGGTCATTTTTGGTGACTAATCATTTTTGATGACTAATTTAACAGTGCCATTTAAAGTTCTAATTTCCTTTAAATTAACATGTTCTGCCATTACATTCAAATGCCTACCTACAATAACAGTCAGAATGTGCTACGAACACTTAACCACCCACACTAGAATTTTAAATCTACATTCTCTTTGAATGCTGTTTTGGTGAATTTCAATGTGGGAGGTGAGATTATTTAAAACTTCACATTTTCTATCATAGAGGCATAATTTTTCTGACATCTTTTTTCATTCTGGATAAGAAATTATACTAGCATAATGTTTTTAAATAAAATTTTTCTGCTCAATCTATCCAAGCTAAAAAAGCTCAGAAGCATTTATTTACTGATCATAACTGTTAAGAAATTGTAGTCATTACATCTACCAGCTGTTCTCTTCCACATCATTCCACACCGGAAGAGAAAGAATACATTACTTGGCTTCAGAAACTCTCCTGTATTTCTCTTTGTACTTCATCAATTGTTTGAGCCTTTGGACACCTGAGCAAAATATAGAATATACCCAACCCAGCCTCTGCCTCCCAGAGCTTGCTTCCAAAAGAGGAAAGTTCTTTTCAATGTAGTAAAGAGGAAATTATCTTTTCTTAAGTGTCACAAGCTCAAGAAAACAGAATGTGGATGTTACAGAGTTGGCAAGTGGAAGAACAGAAATAATATGTGCAAGGATTAGGACTTGGTTTGAGTGTTACTGCTTGTCATGAAAGGCATTGGTATTAAAGGCAGATAACATGACTACATTAGATCTGACCATAAGTACATTATTGCAGAAATAAATATTCCATCTTATATAATCAGGAATTCAAATCATTATTTAATTCTTTATTACATGATCAACTAATATTAAAACTTAAAATTAAAAAATCACATTAAAAACAATAGCTACATGATGTTGAACACATTTTAAACTAGATATTTAAAATAGTATAGTACTGGGGCGCCTGGGTGGCTCAGTCATTAGGCGTCTGCCTTCGGCTCAGGTCATGGTCCCAGGGTCCTGGGATCAAGCCCCCATTGGGCTCCCTGCTCGGCAGGAGGCCTGCTTCTCCCTCTCCCACCCCCCCTGCTTGTGTTCCCTCTCTTGCTGTTTCTCTCTCTGTCCAAGAAATAAATAAAATCTTTTTTAAGCATAAATAAATAAATAAATAAATGAATGAATAAATAAATAAATAAATAAAATAGTATAGTATTTAAAAGTCATTTAACCCTATCATAAAATGGTATTTGAGGACTTGTTTTTTTGTTTTTTGTTTTTTTTTAAAGATTTTATTTATTTATTTGACAGCACAAGTACGCAGAGAGGCAGGCAGAGGGAGAGGGAGAAGCAGGGTTCCCGCGGAGCAGGGAGCCCGATGCGGGGCTCGATCCCAGGACCGTGGGATCGTGACCTGAGCCGAAGCAGCCGATTCACCGACTGAGCCACCCAGGCGCCCCTTGAGGACTTGTTTTTTAAGTGAAAGTAGCTGTCAGTAGAAGTGAGAAGCCAAATGGAATAGCATTATCTTACTTTGTGAGCTTCTGTCTTTTTCCACTTCAAAGAAATTTGTTGAGCCCATGTTACGGGCCAAGCCCTGTGCTTAGTACAGCTTCTCAGCTCAGAGGGTTCCTCAGTCTGGGAACAGCACATCAGCGTGGCCCAATCTTGTGGTTGCTCAAGAGAAATCCTTTGTGTAAATCAGTCTACTGATTTTGAAATGCTGGCATCCAATTCAGCAGTACTTAGGACATTGTGAGGGCCACATGAAACAGGGTAAATGGCGCCTTGAGCTCTCATGCTGCTATTTTGTGGCCCCTGAATTAGGGCAGGATCCTTGCGAAGACGCAAGTGCTGCCCAGCCAGATAACGTAAGCCGTTATCAGTCAGTGGCACCTCAACGTGACTTGTTTTAACACGCTTTGCCCCAGCACTGGCTGCTCCCAAGACCATTTCAGCTAGAAAGAACATGAGAGGAAGAGCATAGAGACAGAAGTCCATGCAGGGGACAGCAGGCCTATTAGAGGACACTCCAAAAATGCAGCTGCAGACTCAAAAGGAAGATTTCAGCAAGCAATATTGAGCATCTACTAGAACATGCATGCTCAGTGTGATATGTATGCGGGAAAGGGCTGTCATTTATGCAAAGAGATTGGGTCGGGGCTTTTGCAATAACCCTGCCAAAGTTAGACAGGACTTGGCTTTCAGGCTCTGGGAAGTGACAGTGGAAATGGAAGGAAGTGGTAGCTTCTGAAAAATGGAGTCAACTGGTTTTGATATTAAACTGGATTTCTAAGAGAGGGGAGTGTCAAAGAAAATCAGGATTCCAATGGCCCATGTACCAAATCAGGGAACCGCTGGAGGTGGAACAGGTTTGGGAGGACGGATAAGACTCGTTTCCATTTTAGGGGCACCTGAGTCGCTCAGTCGCTAAGCATCTGCCTTCGGCTCAGGTCATGATTCCGGGGTCCTGGGATCGAGCCCCACATCAGGCTCCCCGCTCAGCCGGAAGCCTGCTTCTCCCTCTCCCGCTCCCCCCGCTTGTGTTCCCTCTCTTGCTATGTCTCTCTCTGTCAAATAAATAAATTAAATCTTTATTTAAAAAAAAAAAAGACTTGTTTCCATTTTAGATGAGTCAAGTTTCAGATAGGAAATATGCAGGAGGATCAGGGGTCCGGTTCTTAAAAAGGGGGGCTGGGTGGGGTGTGCCGGGAGTCCCAGGCATCTGGCTAACACAAAGGCTGAGAAAGGGATGTGGAGTGAGCATGTGGGGGAAGAAGAGGCCCACACCAAGTCCTCTGTGTGTCCTTGGCCCACCGTCCTCCTCCAGCTGCAAGTGCAGGGAATGTGTGTCACCAGAGGCTCTCGCCCCGTGCCACACACACTCACACAGGTTTCCAGGCCAATACACTGAGCGATGTCTCATTGCTCAGAAGTGCTTACAGTATATTTTACGAACAGCTTCTGTTAATTCCCTAATGTGAACACCCTTTTAAGAATATAAATTGGCACCATAAACCTCTTGCAGTTAGTTCTTGGGAACTCTGCCAAATACATCAGGTAGGTCCTACAAAATCCAAAACGTCACAATTCAACGTAATGTGGCCAGCATGAACCAACCTTAGTAACAAAAAATACCCAACACCTATCAATACTCAATAAACAGGAATTGACATTCTCGTGCATCACAGAAAAAGTAGATCATTCATGGATACCCCCACAAGATTCATACCTCATTTGAGTCCCCTTTTTTTTTTTTAAAGATTTTATTTATTCGAGAGTGAGTGAGAGGACGAGAGCGGGGTGAGGAGCAGAGGGAGAAGCAGACTCCCCACTGAGCAGGATCATGACCTGAACCGAAAGCAGCCGCTTAACTGACTGACTGAGCCACCCAGGCGCCCCTTGAGTCCCATTTCTGTGACAAGACCAGGGTAAGCTGAATCACTGGCCCTGTAGTGCAGCCCTTTTGGATGTTGTGTTGCAAATTTTAAAACTGACATTTCAAGAACCCACAAAGAGATTAAATGTGTTACGCTTTGATTTTATTTGGAATCATAAGAGAAACATTTTTAATAAACTCTTAAATTCTTCTCCATTAATGTGATTTAAGTAATGAATTTATAAAGATTGATTTGTTTACATACACTCAACTGTAGAAAAATTATATTCTTTTTGTTTGTTTGTTTACACCATCAAATGCAATCAAGCCAAACAAGATGGTTAACTAAAATGATTACTGAATTGAATGCAGCATTAGCTGATGGCTTTAAATTTAGAATGTGTTACTGATGTCAGGGCTGATTAGATTCGTTCTCTATCTAAAACTGATGCTATTAAAAGCTTTAAGCAGTTTAGAAATTTAGATGTAGTCACTGAGTAAAATTCCAACAGGGTGAGAGAAATTCTATCAGAATTGATTCTGTGGTGGTGACTTTACATGTGCACAGATGTTGGTGGGGGGGGCCCTTCAGCGATGGGGTAGAAAGAATAGGGTGCAGGAGGGGTGGTCTGTTGGCATCGATCCAAGAAAGGTAAAGAGCCTTGGAATAGAAAAAGTACTCATCTTCACACAGGGAATCCCAAATGGCATAAGGATGTGACTATTGCTCATTTCTGTTTCAGAACTTTCCAAGAAGCAGGCAAAATAAATGAAGGGGAAGCAAGAGGTTAATACGGCATCATGCTTCAGTTACTCCTCTACAGATGAACCCCAGGGAAATCATGGTAGCCAGTGGGACCAACAGTTTTACTAATAAGAGGAACGTGTGGTAGGAGCAAGGGTGACCTACACACTGTATGGAATGATGATGCGTCAGGAGCACCTCAGGACCTAAAAGCCCACTGCAGGGATCAGACCCATCAAACTGCCAGGGAGAGTCTAATGGAAGAATCGTCCTGGTACTCCAAGGAAAGAGTCCAGTCCCAGGGCTCCTGCAGCCGGACTCGGGGAGGTGTTGCCGGTAGTGGTGACTTCGGAAAGGTGTGCCATGGGGACAGTATGCCATTTCCAATGTCTGTGCCTTTAAAATATTTTATTACTGGTCCAAATGTCTGAAGACATTTTAAATGGGAAGGAAAAACATTATTTCCTGGACTGAAATTCTCTGGATCTTTAGATTCTGTTCCTGCCCAGGTGTGGGAGAGGGTATCTGTCAATAGGTCGGATCTAAGCTGGAAGGCTCCTGTCATTATTAATGCAGCTTAGCCATCTCTAGGAAAAAGGCAGCAAATAATTTGGATCCCTCTATGTAGTTCCACCTAACAAAGGAAAAAATAAAGAGAAACACTTATTTCCATTCAAATGATGGGGAAAAGTAGCCTACCATGTAAATAGGAAGATTTGGTGATGTGAATGCAATCTAAAGTACGTAGCACATCGGAAGGTTATGATGTGGAGACCCGGGGTCTGTGCAGTGAAGGACTGGCCCCCCACAGGAATCCACTAACCTGTTGATTTTCTCATTCTGAGAGTGCTCCCCGTCATCAACAGCGCCCAGCGGGAACATCATCACACTCTTTTGGATGGTATCCTGGAATATTCTGGCAATTGGTATGGTTGATCCATCCCGGATCATGTCTGGCTCTGTTCCAAACACTGAAGCACAGGGAAAGAAGGCATTTGAATAAAATAACGACAAGACTACCCCGAGTCATCTTCTCAAATGTAGTGTTTGCTTTATCTTTCCCTTTTTCTTTTTCTTTTTCTTTTTTATTTAACCCTTAAATTTGGTGCCTGGGGTAAGTAAGCTTCTTGATACCATGCAGTTTATATTCTAAAATAGTCAATAGAGTCAGGTTGCATTCTTTACAATTACCTACTTCAAAAAAAAAATAATTTTTATTGTGAATTATAGATTTTATAGAAAAGTTGCAAAAAAAGTACAGAGAGAGTTCCCATATGTTCCTTACTTTACTTTCTGTAATGTTAACATCTTATATAACTATTGTACAGTTATAAAGAATAGGAAGTTAACATCAGAATAATATCATTAACTCGATTCAGACCTTATTTAAATTTCACCAATCCTTCCCTTTTGCCATTCCAGGATCCAATCCAGAATCCCACACTGTGTTTTGTCACTGCTTCTTACTCTCCTCTGGTCTGTGACAGTTTCTCAGCCTCTCCTTGTCTTTCATGACCTTGACCCTCTTGAAGAGTACTGAGCAGTTGTTTTGTAAAGTGTCTCTTCATTTGGGTTTGTTTGATATTTTCTCATGATTGGAAGAGGTCATGCATTTCTGGCACAAGCATTAGAAGACAATGTACCTCCTTTTATGGTTGCTTCATGAATTAAATATTTGGAAAGTGGGACTTCTTTGGTTTTGTAACCAGTATACAAATAAACAGCTGTACTCAACTATCACCTGAATGGTGCAGGGTTTGTGCTCTACTGTCAAGGTATCCCAGGAAATAGCTTTAATGGATATCCTAGGGCCTAAGGAGCGATGACTTCAAACCTTCCAGGCAAGAAGTTGAGTTGTCAGTGATGGAGGAGAGATGCAAAATAAAATGAAGACACGAATGATATCATGCCGTGTCTTTATCCACAGAGCAACGTGTGAACGTGAGGAAAGATGATGTACCTCGTTGGAAGAACTGGTTTCACAGAGAATAAACCAAAAGGTGCCTTATGCATTCCTGTAAGAGTATCTCAGGTCTTTACTGTTGACCTTGACATTTCAATCACACATCACTCTTCAGCTGGGATTACATTTACCTTCCTAATAACTTTTCTTCCTCCGTTCTTGACTTCCAAATTTTACTGGTAAAATACTGCTACAGCTGGGACCAGGAGGAATGATCATGCAGAGAAGTAGGGCTCTAAGTCTCAGACCTGTCCTCTAACTTTTAATGTCTCTGTCCTTTGTACAGATAACCCTGATAAGATGTTAGTGCTGCCAGATGGTCTGGACCTCCAGTCCCAGCTCTGCTCTGTTAGGGATGCGGCCTGAGGCCTCATCTGCGATAGAGTACCGTAAGTCATATAAACATGCGTCAGGGTTTCCCCGCCTGGCTTTGGGGACACCCTGAAAGTTCCCCTGCCTCTGACTCCGCTATGTTGCAGCTGTTGGCAGTGTCCCCTTCCAGCTGCAGAAGCCAAAGGGGCGGGTATTCGTTCTCCCTGCCCAGGCAGCCAGGGCCCAGGTATGTGTCCTGTGCTCACCAACCACATGATCCTGCCCAGGACCTGGAAGCGCATGCAGTTGCAACAGGCACCACCAAGGAAATTCCAAATAAAGCTATGCCGCCTTCTCTATCTCTGGGGAAGCAGAGTGGCACTGAAAAGACCACTGGTTTTAGAGTCAGATAGGCTGGAATTTGAGTTCGGTGTTTGGTACTTTTTTTAAATTATATAAAATTTTATAAATTTTTGTATAAAATTGTATAAAATTATAAAATGAGCATCCCAGGAAGCCTCTCTGTGGAAATGGCAGGTGGCCTGCCGTGGGGCTGTTTGCATCAGAACTGGACCCTCTGGAGAGTGGAGATTAAAGACCCAAACCCTGTGAGGCTGGGTCTGTGGTTAGCCCCCTCCAGGGTGAGGCTGGCTCTTAGGGAATGCCCTGCCTTTATTTAATGGGTCTCACTTCCTGTTCCCTACCTCCGGCTGGCCTATGGCCATGAAAACCCAAACCTCCCTGTGACCAAAAAGAACAAATCCTCTCAGGGCAGTCCAGTGTCAGCTTTCTTTTTTTTTTAAAGATTTTATTTATTTATTTGAGAGAGAGAGAATGAGAGAGAGCACATGAGAGGGGGGAGGGCCAGAGGGAGAAGCAGACCCCCTGCTGAGCAGGGAGCCTGATGCGGGACTCGATCCCGGGACTCCAGGATCATGACCTGAGCTGAGGGCAGTCGCCTAACCAACTGAGCCACCCAGGCGCCCCAGTGTCAGCTTTCTTACTCCATTAAATTGTAGCTCCGCTTTTTTTTTTAATAAGATTTTTTTTTATTTTAGAGAGAGAGAGAGCCCATGCAACTTGTACAAGTGCAGGAGGGGTGGGGCAGAGAAAGAAGGAGAGGGAGAGAATCTCAAGCAGACTCTGCACTGAGCCCAGAGCCCGGAGCCCGACTCAGGGCTCGATCCCACCACCCTGAGATCATGACCTGAGCTGAAATCAAGAGTCGGACGATCGACTGATGGAGCCACCCAAGTGCCCCTAGCACTTTCATTTTTAACCCCAGATTTCCTATACTTTCATCCAAATTCAGCTATGCCTTTTAAAGGACATTTTTATATGTGGGTCATCATTTTCACAAGTATCAAAGACTCACAAGTCCATCATTTTGCCCCAAATTCACGCTTCCATACGTGAACCCAGCTTTGCCACTTCCAACTGGGTGCCCTTCATTCAGCCAATTCCTTCATCTCTTGCAGACTTACTTTGTAAACTTGGGAAGGCTGTGGGGAGAGGTCAGGAGACTGTGAAGAGCCCTGGGCAGAGCTGTTGACTCTCAGTAACAGAGCCTCTCTGAAAAGGAGAGCTAAACCGAAATTCTGAATGAGCCCGCTTTCTCCACTGCCCCGCCAGGCACCGAGCCCTGGAACCACTGAAAACTGGCAACTCGAGGCATCGCACGTCTAACCTGTTTTGATGGCTCTCTTTGCTGCAAGATACTGTTTATCTTTAATATTTGCGATCCATGGCTGTAGTCCTAGCGTCATAGAAACAGCCATCTGGTTGGAACTATTTCTTTTGGAGAATATATATTCAAGATGCTGCTTCACCTGAAAAGGAACATTTTCAGTGGTAAGAGAAAATTTCAAGTTATTCTCCCATGTAGTAGTCTTTCATCAAGAAACTGAAATCCCAGCCCAACAAATTCGAGTGTCGTGATTTTACCCTCATTCTCGCAGAGGGCCTCTGGGACTGAGAGCTTCAGCAGTGAGAGAAACACTGGTCTCACGCCCCTTCTATCTGTGGACCCTCCATTCCTCAGCCCTGCGCCCACCCCATCCTGACCACAGTGTCAGATTTCTAATGTTTGGTAATTATGAAACACAATACAACTTCTCAATTTGAATATCCTTCTTTTCGGACTTGTACCTTAATGACTATTTTGGGAATATTAGACATTTGTTAATTCCTGAAAGGGGGGGGGGGCAATTCCAAACTAGGCTATAATGGAGCCTTTTGTCAGCATCCTTCTCTGTCCCCTGGGCTCCATTCCAGTGGCCACCATGGAAATCCTCCCAAGAAAAATTCCACACTCTGAAATATTCCGCCCATTCATTCCTTTGACAATTGTTGAATGCCTGTCATGTTGGCATGAATGTTTCTAGGTGCTGGGATCACAGCTGTGAGCAAGACCGGGGTGGGGCTGGGGCTGGGGGCTCCCCTGGTGGAATCCGTATGTTGTAAGAAAGAGAAACAATACATCCAAAATGGGAGGGCGGGTGGGGAGAAAACAGGGACAGAGACAGGAAGGAGGGCATTTTAGGATGTAATTAGCGCTAAGAAGACAATAAAAGAGGTCAATGGCAGATAGAGATTTGGGATGAGGTGTTCTTGGAGCTCATTTATTCAGAGCCTACTTTCTGTTGAACTTGAGGTAAACTGATGATAGTTTGATAATTTAGACATAAAACTCCTTCCAGATAACATTTTCATTGAAGTGGCTGCTTTCAGAGAGTTGACTGCAGACCCCAAGGGCAAACTAACTATGGGTTTGAGCATTTCCAGCTCCATCCCGCCGTAGGCAGTCAGTTTCCCCATCTGTGTGTAAACCAATCTTGCCTTTATGTCAACTGTTTAATGTAAAACTACGTCCCATCACTCCAGCCCCAAACAGTTATTTATCTGACTACTGTAATTGCATATAATTACGGAAAGAGATTTTTACGGAACAAAAATTATATTGGTTTCTTGACATTTGTTCCAGTCCCTTTCATATTCGGGGAAAAAAATGGAACTTCAGTGCTAACAACCGAATAGCTCACTACCCTGGGATGCGACACTCGAAACGTGCCGTAGTGAGAACAATGCAAATGTGTTACCTGTTTTTCCACCACAGATGTATTCATGTGAGGGACCAGACGGATTGAAAATTTTCCTATAACTTGGCCAGGGATGACCGTTTTAGCTCCAGGCTCATCAAATGCGCCCTCAATCCCATGGATTGAAAGAGATGGGTACCTCCATAGGTGCATTAGAATCTCCTCCTGAATTCAAATAAAATTATTTTACTATATAAAAGATTGTTCCATTAAAACTCTGTTGAATTGCATTGTTTGTATTGCCCATTTCTGTACATCTCTGACACCGCTCATGACAAGTTAATTATCACCTTCCTTAGACAGGCCTGGACTACAACACAAGCCTTTCCCCTCCGGCCCTGAGACTCGCTGCTGCCCCCCGCCTGACCAAGCTGCTCTGCAGACGCGGGCGCCTCACTGCCTCAGCTCCACAGTGATTAGATGGCAAAGGGGCTTTCAGAATTTGGGGATTGATTAGAGATTTCTATCTCCAGTCACCATGATGATCAGTTGCATAGGAAACACATTTTCTTTTTCAGGAGACTTCAAAGAACTCTGCGTTATGTTGAGCCACTTTTCTTCCCTGCTATGGCCAAGACAGGGCTGGTCCGAGGGAAGAGATCTACTTCACAACAATCAACTCGACCACTTCTGTTGGGCACGATTCTCCCTCTCCTGGCAGCCTCCAGAAGCAGTCATAGCCACCACACACCGTAGCAGGCAAAGGTTTTAAGAAGAAGAAGGTGGGGAAAGAAAACATCCAAATTCGCCAGAAATGAATGCTTTGGGCTCTGGCTTCTTTCCTACACTGCGGCAGCGATGTAGCAATGTACAGATTAGCCCCAAAGGCTCTTAATTCCGTCTATTGAAATGAAGACTTAGGAGTCTTGGAGCTAGAATAGTCTCAGACTGTTCTCAATCTTTAAGCAGAGAGGAAGCACGGGTAGCTGAAGGCCGGCATGGGATGGAGTCTAAGAAGCCGACTGGGAAAAGCACGTCTGTGAACTGAGTGATGGCCCCCAGGTTCCGTGCCCGAGGCCAGTGCCACCAGTCAGACCCCAGATAAAGTTCTGGTGCTCTAGACCCGAGGGAGGTGAATGGCTGTGAAAGTGAAAATCTGCCTCCGAATCAACATCCGCTTTCAGTCCTGAGATGTGATTTGCAGCCTCCACGGTAAACGAGGAACAGGAGAAATAGGATTTATTACTGTCACCCTCTTTCAGGAGGAGACCGTACCTTGGTGTCAAACAGAAATCTCTTAACCTGGACGCTGTTCCGGTATTCTTCTAGGTCCAGATCGATGGCTTCATACATCTTTCTCTCCTCTTCAGTAAGAGGGGCCACCTGGTCATAGATTCCAGGGATCAGAATATGCCCAGAGGAGTCTACAAGGCTACCTGCAAGGTACGCACAGGAAATAAAGTCAGGTCGAAGTTATGAGTGTGCTGACATTTTCAGACCCATTCCAATGTTCACCTTGTCGATGGTGAGATAGAAACACATGATATAATTGGCTGTGACTTACCTATATTACATAAGTCCTCAATTATACCTTCTGTATCATAGATAAGGTTCCTTTTGAAATTTTAATTTATCCTGAGTTAAAAGTAACATATGTTCATCATAAAAAATCCTAAATATGTATATATATGTTATACAAACATTCCTGAGGAACTGAAGATCGTCTTTCTTTCTCAGCTTCTCTCCCCCTACACACACCATCATTTAATAAACACTCATCTTTCATCAAAAGCATAATACCCTTGAGGTCTAGCCTATGAGGCATACATCATGACCACAATTGCCTTCAGAGTGAATACGCAGATATACTAGTCTGTTATTTATGAAAGAGTTTGGGGATTAATAGGAATGGGGGGAAATCATCAATGAATACGTACAGAGGAAGCAGAAGTAGAGATTTAGTAAACACTGCTCACTACCTTGAGAACGTACTTATCCAAGTAGCAAGTAGACTAACAGGAATGGTGAAAAGTGTATCCAGGGCATCTAAATTCATCCTCAGGCTGCCTGAGTCCTTTCATTCAAGTAAAGATACTTCATAAAAAATATGCTCCACATTCTTTTTTTTTTTTTTCATTTTTTATTTATTTGTCAGAGAGAGAGAAAGAGCATAAGCAGGGGAAGTGGCAGGCAGAGGGAGAAGCAGGCTCCCCGCTGAGCAGGGAGTCCGATGCGGGGCTCGATCCCAGGACCCTAGGATCATGACCTGAGCCGAAGGCAGATGCTTAACTGACTGAGCCACCCAGGCGCCCCATATGCTCCACATTCTTAATGTGACTATAACTTGACAAGGTCAGAAAACTACTGTGAAGCACTGTATTTCCAAATCTTCCTGTCACACCTGACAATTACAAAGCAGGGGGTCGAAGGATCTGGGAGAACCGATGCGTTCCCCCTCATTACTAGACACCTGCTATGTTTAAGGCAAGGGATGAATGCTGGAGACAAGAGGACCTGTTAAGACCCCACTTTCATCAGCAACAGCACCATCGCTCACCACACAGGCTAAATGACAAGCATGACCCTCCCTGAGCCCAACAGCAGATGGTCGGGCTCTCTGTGTAGACACAACAGAATCCAAGGTAAAGACTCTACCAGAACCCACCGCGATGGCCCTAGTATGGGACATAGTGGGTGTCCCAGCACTTTGAGATGATCCTACAAGGCAAAACCCCAAGCTTGGAGGTATCAAGGCAGCAAGATGAGAAGGGAAGGCCTCACTGTTCTGGTTTTCAACCACATCCTCCTTAGTGCCCACTCCTGGTCCCCCCACACTTCACCCAACTTCTACAGCTGCACTTTGGGTACAGTTTGCAGCCTGCTGTGCATGAACCAGCCTCCCTGCAGCACTGAGTTACGGAATTCCCTGCATTTAGCCCAATGAAGTATATAATATAGTAAATAAATGGTATAAACCTGTTAGTAAAATTCAAGTCAAATACATTGGGTGCCAATGATTGGGACTGGCTGTCATTGACTTGCAGGCCACGCTCTGTACCCTCACCAAAGTCAAAATCAAACATAAAAGCACCATCAATAATACAATCACTAAGTCTTCCCCTCAGTGCATGCCCCTAAACTGCTGACATTCTCCTAGGCAAGCACAGAGCTGCAAAAGTGAGTAAGAGACAGACCCTGTTCATAATCCGGCCGGAAAGACACAGGGTGAAGAAACACCTGTAGGTCCACAAACAGTTGTAAAGGGGAGCATTCTGCAGGAGCACAGGAGCAGGCCGGGAGCCCACAAGGGGGGGGAATGCACAGACCAGCATCACGGTTGGGCCCCAGAGATTGTGTGGGACGCGCCCAGCACAGCCTCGGTGGTGAGAAGAGAGGGGTGTTTGAAATGTCAAGGTTAATAACAATTAAGACATGAAATACTCTAGCGGCCAGGATGCTCGGCGTCCATATTTTGACACTGAACTGTGACATTTTTCCTATTATTCCAGCTGGCCTTGCCAGATATTACCATGGGGGTGGGGGTCAGGGGTCGTTACAGATTAGGCTGGGCTTTGAGCAGACTGGCCTTTCTACATGCTCACTGCACTTCTCCAGCAGAACTGGCCCGGCCCAGTCCTGGGTATGGTTTTGAATCACGGATCCTGTTTTCTCAGGATGCAGGGCAGCCTTCCCAGCTGCGGGCTGGAAAGAGTGCCAGCAGACACATCTCCTGAGAGCAGAGGAATAGCATGTCCTCCTCTCCCTGCCCCTTCCACCCCCAAGCAGAGGGTTGTTTGGGGGAGCTGTGGGGCACACGGTGTCCTCCAGGCACCGCCAGGCACCGCCACCGCAGGGCCGGGCAGTGGGAAAACGCCACATGTGTGCTGTTCATGTTTCTGCGTTCCACGTCTTGCCCCAGTTCTTCAATGTTGAATGCGTTCCCATGAAAACAGGATGTTGCTGAAGGAGTTCATCTCCCCACCCCCCTTCTCCTTTCCCACTTGAAATCATGATCCTCTGAACTTGATGTGACTTCTGCAGCCACTAGGGCCTCCTCGGCCAGGAGCCCAGCCGGGAAATGCATGGGAGGCAGGGAGGGTGGCGCCTATGAAAACTGCAAGCAGGAAGCAAATGTAATCCTTGATTCCCAGGAGTTCTCTTGGAATTTAACATTTTAATACTACAGGGTATTTGGTGCTTATAAGAGGGCCCTGGGTCCCATGATCCTCCCTGCCTTGTGGCTTTTAGGAGAGTGCAGGGAATGGGAATGTCCACCAAGAGGAAAGCTCAGGAGCTGAGCACTCTGTGCAAACTGAGCATCTCCACGCCCACCACCTCCCACCTCCCAAATACACCCCAGTCTAAGTCTCTTTGAAGATGGGGGCGGACTGGTTTCCCTGTGTCCCCCAGTGGAGACTCCCGTGCCTTTCACACAGCTGACACTCAATAAACCTTTATAATCTATTAGCAATCACAGTTATCAGGATCATACAGCTGAGGAACTCGGAGGACAGAGAGATTAGGAACTTGTACAAGGTCACACAGCAGCAGGTTTCCTGACTAGCGTGTGGGGCATCTGCCAGTCTGCAGGGGGAGGACCCGATGGAACCAGCTTTCCTGGGACATCCTAACCTGCGGTGGCCCCGAAGGAGGGCCTACTGGGGTCAGCAAGCCAAAATGCTTGTCATCAGTGCCGAAGCTCAACTCTAGGTCCTTAGGTCTTTGTACAAAGCATATGAAAGCCATATAGATGACCCAATCCAGAATCATCTCATTATGGGTTATTTGATTTGTCTCAAAAAATTAAAGAAAGTGAAACCATATGCTTTTCATTCTGTTCATGATCCTGATCTGATTTTTCCTAGCAGAGCCACAGGCATTTGTAGGACTAAATGGAATTCTATGCCTGGGTGAAACTGTATAGTCTAAGAGAATGTCATGCAACAATCATGATTGGGGGAGAGTGAAATGCACCATAAAGATCTGATAATGTTGTTCGTAGGGAAGAGAAAATTAGTTCTGATAAAACAGAAAATGAACTCTCCCCCTCTCACCCCCGCAGCTCAAATATTGAGTTGCATGCTATCTGAATTCTTCTGGAAACATAAACACTTTAAAAGAAAATGGATTGTTGTAGCCTGTCTGAAATTATCCAGCATGGGAAATACTGTCCAAGAATAATATTTTAGGAAAACTAGAAGGCCATAAAGGAATAGATAGATGGTAGATAAATAGATAGAAAGAATAGGTGGATGGGAGATGAATGACATATAGCAGAGCTAGATAACACATGATAGGTAGACATACAGATTTCATTATTTCCTTCGGGGAATGAAGGAACAAGAAGCCCTACAACTAAAGATGGTCCTGAAGACCCTGAGAACACCTCCCAACAGGTGGCCCAGGTTGGCTGATGGTGCCCAGTCTGACACTGCCAAGGCCAAGGGGATGCAAGCGAGTGGGGCAGAGGTAAAGCTGTGTCAACACAGAAAGAAAAGAGACTTTTGCTAATCAATCCCTATAGAGGACATGCTTTTTGGTAGTTTGTCTGCCCAAGAGGGGCACATTGTAACATTTGCATTAAGGTACCCTGTGTGCCAAGGAGACAGATCCAAGTATTGTGGGATCTGAAGCTTCCCTGACAACCTCTTTTTAATTATGAAAATAAAAGTGAAGTGTCTTTGCCAGGACTGTAAAAAGGGGCTACTCCAAGTGAGGATCCTGAGGATGCAGCTTCCTTCACTGCCAGGATCCAGCTTGGCTGCAAGCAAGAGCGACAAGATGAATCAAGGTGGTCAGGGTGGGCACCCTGGCCCTCCAGAGGAGCACACACATACGCACGCCTTCTGCCGGTGAACTCCAGGTGCCCTACAGGAGGGCAGGAGCAGGTGGCAACGAGTAAACCGATGGGAGCCCACAGAACTGGAGACAGGGTGCCAGGTGGTGCTGGTGTCTTCAGCACCATCTCTGGATGCCTCTCCAGAGGGGTCTCTCTGCTACTGCCCCTGAGTATGGCTAGATGTGTCACAATACCAAGTAAAAGAAAAGGGGGTGAACTGGGGAAGAGCTTCGGTCCATGAACAAAAGTAATGTGGACTTAATAATCCTAAGGAACATTTAGCCGAAGTGGAGGGGGAGCTAAGAATATGGTTTTTCTTCTATTCCACCCTTATGCAGAACTGGCTTGGAGGCCAAGGGAGGAGAGATGCACTGAGTCAAACAGAACTGTATTCTGGTAGATTCCATGATGCTTAAAAAGTGAAATGAAGGAGCCTGGGTGGCTCAGTCAGTTGAGCATCTGACTCGTGGTTTCAGCTCAGGTCATGATCTCAAGGTCATGAGATGGAGCCCCACGTCAGGCTCCATGCTCAGCGGGGGTCTCCTTCTCCCTCTCCCTCTGCCTCCACCCCGCACCTCTCTCCCTCAAACAAATAAATCTTAAAAAAAAAAGGTGAAATGAAATAAGACATTACCAAGAAGAGCAACCAAATCAGCCATTGGTTCATTGAGGATACCCCCAAAGGTTCCTGAATGAAAATCTTGATCTCTGCATCTCACCTATAAGATGGGTAAAAGAGAAGACAGGCGCTCACCTCTGAGGTTGCTCTGGGGATAGCGTTCACGTGATAGAGAACGCCCCCCACTCCGTCCCTCAGGACTCAGGTGGCTACCTCCCAGTCACACGACTTGGACCATCTACCCCTCCCAGGTCTTCACTTCTCATTCTTTCCCGAATCCTCGAACCTGATTTCAATCCCCAGTTGTTTCTCTAACACAGCTCTGTCTGGGACCAGCAGCCCCTTCTCCGAGTGGCTGAGGTCTATGTAGCCCGCCCATCTACCCTTCCAGAAACCGTCTTCTCTTTATTCTTCTCTTGCAATTCTATCGATGTCTCCACTAGTAACTTCCTCCCTGCCTCCCACTCTGGAGCTCAGTCCACGGCTCATAAAAAAACAAATGATTTACCATGGAGGGACTTTCTGGTTCTAAATTGCTGTCAGTATGAATAGAAATGTTAAAGGAAGCTGAACTGGACAACGTGCTTGGGGATCACAACCACCCTGGGACCACTTTACAGGTAAAGAAACAGGCTGCGAGGTTAAGGTGTCTGCACAAGACCGCACACCGTGGAAGCCAGAGTCCCATGCAGCCAGGCCATGCCGGCGCCCCCCTCCTCCTCCGGACCACACACACCCGTGGGGCTCCTGCCTGAGCGGCAGAGCAGGTGCCGTCCCACTCACGGCAGCCCAGCCCCTGATCAGGCAGGCAGAGTCACAAACCCCTAAATCCTCTCCCTCCAGAAAAATGCACACAGCACAGCCAGTCTGGTTGGGAGGCTTCCTGAATCCCCCAGTCCCAAGACCTCTGGGACCCCAGGCCATGTCTCCAGCTCAGAACTCTGCTCTCCCAAGAGCTTTCTCTCTTCCCACCAAGATCCCAGGACAGACTCCTCCCTCCACACCACCGCGAATACCTCCACCCTGAAGTAGCTGTTTCCTCGTGTGCCGTAAGTGAGGGCTGGCTTCCTCTGGCTGAGCCACAGATTATCTGAAATGACGACGTAGTCTACACTGGAAAAGAACCGGTCCTTCTCCTTTCTGACCAGTTCCTCCAGGCCAGCGGAACCGGCTTCTTCCATCCCTTCAATGATGAATTTGATATTCACAGGGAGATCCTGAATCAAATTAACAACAGAACAAACCATTCTGGCAAAAAACTGCACGACTTGACCATTCATCTTTTCAGATCCAGAATTCATTTGCGTGTGACTTAAATACACGAATTATTACATACATTCAATGTATGGGTTGTCCGCATTCCCAACAGCTCTGTTGACAACAAAGGAGTTGTAACCAAGACAGTGAAGGGGATTACAAGGGAAGACCCTGTGTATAGCCTCCAGCATGACCCTGATGGAGTCAGCGTGGACCCTAACGGATGATTTGGGGAAGGAATTCTTGGAGGAGAAGCAACACCCACACTGTGGAGCTCTCCTGAGCCACCACAGACACAGATGCTTCCCTCCTTCTCCCCAAAAGGAACCTTTCAAGAAAGGTTACTCGATTACAAATCTCTTTTCTGTCCTCATAATTCTGAGTATGATAAATGAGAACTCTTCCCTTTGAAAGACTGTCTAATGTTTAAGCCTCAGGATAATTTTTATTTCAAGTATCTGTTATTTTTCAGCTTTGAGTTCAATCTGCCTTTTAACTTATTCAAAGGCTTTGATCTTGCAGCAAAATGGAACTTGAGTTTTTCTCTAGTTAATATTAGGGCATGGAATAGCTCCTTTAAAATTTTTACAATGTGCCTTTCCCCCATTTGGTTTTGATCTTTTTGTATCTCTATAATTTATAACTTCATATCTTTAAGAGCCACATGAAGAAGAGAGGTCCAAGTCTTTTCTTGGAGCATAAAACACACACAGGAGAACTCCAGAAGTAATTCTATGCAGATAGACGATGGCACAAACAACTAATTAAAACTTAATTAGTTTTAAAGAGGGGGATTGACTCACCAAAGATTAACAAAGGCAGGATGAGTGGAGGATTATGTATTAGAAAGTAAGTGACCTTCGGTCATTCAGTTGGTTAAGGGCATTTGGGGATAATGATTTGTTCAAATGTATCCTTGGCATAGATTTATTTCTATGTGTCTTAAGAAGTTAAGCTAAAATTCTGAAATATTAATATTTGAAAGCTCTTTATTAACATTAACTAGAAAACAATTGCTGAGAAGTAGTTGGATAGCTTAAGAAATTTCTGGCAAAACGTGATTAATAAAATACAAGCCAGGAGCCACTACGTGTTGGGGGAGGAGGACAGACCAGCTGCCAGGCCTGGGTTTGGGTGTCTGCTCTGTCACTGACACCCAAGGGACCTGGGACAAGCCATTTGACCTCTTGGCCACTCACCTCCCTACCTATGCAATATGGGTAATAACAGTTGTCTGACTTTTAGTAAAACAATCCAGTGATGTGAGGTGCATTCAAGTGCTCAGTAAGCAACACAGAAAGAGAGGATGGGAGGGCGGAAGAACAGGGAAGAAACCCACCCTCGTAAAGGGCCTCGCACACACAGGCACTGAGGCTCCTCTGTGTGTTACCCGTTTACTCCTCCGAAATAACTATTCCTAGTTCACAGATTAGGTCAATGAGGCTCAGAGAGATCAACTGATTTGTCCAAGGGCAGTGAACATTTCTTATGTTTTGTTTGTGATTATGTACGTTTCAGAGTTGAAAGTTAAAAAGCAAAGCAGATTTTGGCCTTCATACAGACTCTTTCTTATAAGTATTGCTTTCTCCCTTGGGAGGAAGGGAGGGAGGAGGGAAGGGAAGGAGGAGGGCAGGGAGAGAGGGGGCAGGGAGGGAGGAGGGCAGGATGTTGTCATCTCCCTTATCGTTGTCATCATCATCGACATCACCTTCATTATCATTGTCATCATCATCATTGTCATCATCATCCCTGTCATCATCATCGTCCTCATCGTTGCCATCATCACTGTCATCACCTTCATCACCATCATCGATATCACCATCATCATTGTCATTCTAGTCATCATCGTCATCGTTGTCATCTTCATTGTTGTCATCTTCGTCATTGTCATCACCTTCAATTATCGTCACTGTCATCATCATCACCATTTCATTGTTGTCATTCTCATCATCCTAGTCATGATCGTCATTACTGGCATTGTCCTCGTCATCATCATCATCCTGTCACCACTGTCCTCACCATCATTGTCAACATTGTCATTATCATTATTGTCATCATCCTCATCATCATCATTATAATCATTGTCATTGTCCTCCACATCATCATCGTCATCATCCTCACCTTCACTGTCAATGCTGTCATCATCATCATCCCTCACCTTTTTTGTCATTCTCGTCGTCATTGTCATCATCATTGTCCTCATCATCATCACCTTCACTGTCAACATCATCATCATCATCATCAACATCACTGTCAACATCATCCCTTCCCAAACACAACTGGTTACCTACTTCCTCCAGGGATCTGAAGGTGCTCACAGCATTAATCCACGCTAAAACAGGACCTTTATTGTCTGTTGCTCCCCGTCCGTAAAGTTTTCCTTTAAAAATAGGGGAAGAATTTTTAGAAAAGTACAAACACCTCTGCCAAGTTGAGTGAGTTAAAAACAAAGGTAGTGTTATGGGTAATCATTTTAACACTGCTTTCTATTTTTCTAGACACAAATCTTGCTCTGAGGTCACAAAGTCTGATTTCTTACATAAAAACGTTATGGCCATCAGCTAATCAGATAATATAAACTAATTTGAAATATGCAGGTCCCTTTGGCCTTTATAGGAATTAGCTATTTTATCCAAGTTCATTGAAAAGGACCTGAGGATTTGTTGCAGAATGTCATGTAACATAGCCTCTCATTTCAAGATTTTATAATTAGTAGAAGAATGAAAAAGGGGTATATGTGTATCTCCATTAACCTTTCTTCTTCTTTTTTTAAAAAACACAATTACATTTGTATTTAAAAAAGGAAAATGTATGACCTAGACAACTTCTTCCTCCCAAGAACTCCCATCTTGGGAGTCAGTTTTGCCCAGGGGCACACATCATGTGTACATAGCTCGTAGTTTCTTTCACAAATGAGAAAAAAGCCAGCCTCATTGGACAGCTGGTAGACTATGAGACTGGTAGCATTTGTCCATTCTTAACAAGAACAGGGTAAGGCCTGGAGCTGGGGACAGGAATCACATCTTCGATTCCTAGTCCACAAAGAACCCAGCACTGATGTGTCACTGACCATCCACTTCCGTCAGCGTGTAAGGGTCTGAGAGCCACCCATCTTCCTGTCTAGCAGGCTGCACATCCAAGTGGCCATAGAAGCACACGGTGGCTTTCTTTGGATCATTCCCCAGTTCGGCCAGGATGATGGGAGGTATCGGGAGAGTCTGACCATTAGGCAGCTGAAAAAAAAAACAAAAACAGATCACATTAAAAAAAAAATGTTGTTTAGTTCTCCCAGAAAATTCAGACGTGACATTAGGAGTCCAGTTTCTACCCCTGAGTTTTTTGTAGAGCCCACATAATTTTTCTAATCATCATTTTATGTACCTCTAAAATGGGTACCACGAGACGCTTCACTAAAACATAAAAAATAATTAAAAGTAAAAGTGCTTTCTTGGATGCATAGGGGCAAACAGTAAACTTAATCAAACACGCTCTCCAATATGAACTCAGACTCAAATGGCTTAAATTAGGTGGACGTGGTTCTGGAAAACACACACCATTCGGAGACTCATCCATGCTGAAGCAGGCAGCACTGGCGCCTGGATCAAGGATCACCATTTGCCACCGGGACACAGTAATAAGCAGTGTTTCTGATCAAAGACTGGATCCTTTGAGAAAGGTACATTTGAACATAAGGGAAAGGACAGTTGGGGAGAAATTTGACCCACATGTGAAGGATATGAATGGTACGGGGAGGGGGGCCTCTCCTTCCCTTACCCACCCCACTCGCTCTCTACTGCCCCCCAGTGCTGCCACGACAAGAAATCAGTAATCCCGACTCGTCTGGGACAAGAGGTAATTTTTTATCTTACTGGGAATTGAGATGATGGGGGCGTTTTTGAGGAGGATCTGATGGGAGCAAGTCCCCGTCTTGCCACGCTCAAGGGCAGGCAGGGCCGATGCCCACAGAAGTGGCAGCTCGTGGCGGGGAGGGGGGGGGGCTGTCCAACACCTGCTGAACACCCGGGTCCACGGAGTCCACACTGGCTCCCAGGCGCCGGAGCCTGTCCGCAGCCAGCGTCATCATTCTGAAGAGCTCCCATCTGAGGCGGGGCTGGGGCTGAACCGAGTCGCTCTCCACAGCCACCCACTCCTTAAGCGTCTGTAAGGAGAGGTGACAAGGTGATTCGTCCGAGGGGGGCCGACCCTGTCAATCACGTCCACTCTAGGGGACGTGGCTCGAGGCACGAGGCACCAAATCCCCAGTGCGGGCCGCCTGCCGCGAAGACTGAGCCAGCAAACACAGTCTTCCTCAGCGACTGCAGATGGGCTGGTGTCCTCAAGAACCCAGAGGCAGAGATGTCTGCCTCATGAAGAAGAACAGGGCAGGACAGGCTGGGGAGAAGGCTGCCTTCCTGGACACCTGGGCCTGTGCCTCCTTGGACCCGCCACTTCTCGTTTCTTAGGGACCGGGAGCTACCGGCTGGCAGCCCGTCCTAGGGACTCTGGGCCTCCCACAAAGGCCCCTGGACGCCTCTGGAACTCGCGGCTCAGTCTAAGCAACCACACAGTGGCCTCGGCTGGGCTGCACGGTGCCTGTTGGCTTTGTGGTCGTCCCCCTGCCCCCACACCTCCAGAACCCGGTAGGTGATGTGCCCCAGGGCTACGCCTTGGCTCCTGCCCTGGGTTCGGCCCATTCAAGTTGTATGACTTGCGGATGCTCCTCAGGCTCGTAGCCTTGGCTCCCTCCTCCATATGAGGGTAGTGCTCTCTGCCTGTGGGTCACTGTTGGCGTGAGGCTGCCACACAATAAGAAATACCTATTTTGGTCTTCGTCCTGGGCTCTTGGCCAGCGCGCCTACAACCTTTACAACTTCCCATGCCATAAACGTGCTGGGAGCATCTTCTGTTCAGAGATTCGGTCTCTGTCTTGGGTTCCTAACACAGAGCTCCTAACTCCCTTGGAATTTCCTGGGAGAAAGGAGAATATTTTGTTCTAATGAGGCAGTTCTAGTGGGCTCCTGGACAGGGGCTGGTCACCAGAAAGACCAAGCTGTGATTAGAAGCTTGGGGCTCCCCACCCAGCCACATCCTCTGGGGAGGGACGAGGGGCTGGAGATGAGTTAATAATCACTCATGCCCACATGATGAAGCCTCCATAAGCGTCCCCGAAAGTATAGGGTTCAGAGATCTTCCAGGCTGGTGACTGCAGCCTGGAGAGTGGCGCACCCCAACCCCAGTGGGACAGAAGGTGCCTCCAGACCCTGCCCTATGTGCCTCTTCATCCAGCTGCTTGTATCTACCCTTTATCATGTCCTTTATTACATAACAAATGGCAAACATAATTAAGTGTTTTCCTGGGTTCTAGAGCTGTTCTAGCAAAAGATGGGACTAGAGCAGGGTTCGTGGGAGCCCTGACTTGCAACCGCTTGGGACATGTAAATAAGGGGGTCTCACTGCCTGAATGCGACTGGCACCCACTGTTGGCGGTGGGGGTAGGAGGGTGACACTCACACCAGGCAGGTGGTGTCAGAAGGGAGTCGGACTGTGGGGTGTCCCGAGAACTAGATAGTTGCTTAATGTGTGGAAAAGGCACACAGCTGGCCACAGAAGCGAGGGGAGTCATCAAAGAAAACAAGCATTCCTTTCCGTGAGGATTAGAGATGATGACGTGCATAAGACTTAGCTCAGTGCCTGGCTGCTGGTGGGTGCTCAACGAACTCGAACTAATATTGAATTACCAATAATAATCAATCACATTGATTGATTATAAGCTCGAGTTGCTTATACTGGGATAGCCACCATTTTTATTAAAAAAACTACGCATACTTTGGGTGACTGATCTTGGATTCTCCAACTTATTTTAGTCTGATCTCTGTTCTGGTTGTAGCACTTTAATTTTTATTACGAAGAAATTCATTTAGCCTAAGGAATATTGTGTTTTACACACTTAAACTGGAATTCATAGAACAGATGCTGCCAAGTGGTCCCTAAAGGTAATGGATTGGATACATGTGAGGAAGTTGCAGAGAGGAGAGTTTTGGCTCAAAGACCCAAATCAACGTATCTCCCCCACACGCTGTCCCTCTCCCCCTGCTAATTCCAACCTACAGCCAGAGTCCCCACTCAGTCTTCAAAAACCCAATAGGCATTATGTCAAGTCAATACTCCCACGAGCACGAGGAAGGATTCCATGAAGGTCAAGTCTAGGACCTGCGGCCTGGCCATTCAGCGTTGTGTGATAGCAGGAGACACGAACTCTTGACTGTTGCTAACATTGGCTGGTTGCTCCAGTATACATATACTGAACACAAACTGTGGGCCACACATGGCATGGGGGCTCAGGGGACAAGATCCTGTGACATGTCATGGAGTCCCCGGCTGTGGTGGACTCAACTCACCCATATGCCAGGGGACAAGCAGGTCAGCAGAGAAGAAGGGGACTTGCAGGCTGATGGAGGCTACGGCCCTTCCCTGCGCCCACCCTTCTGCTCCCAGGCCTCCCTCTCTCCTTGCTCCTAGCCCTCCGGCTCCATTCTTCTCCCCCGAGATGTATGCCCACACCACGGGCAGTTTGCCACGTAGTGAGTTCGGAATGGAGCAGAGGATTATAAGGGAGGAGATAAAGTGCACATTGCACAAGGACTACAAAACAGCTTTGACATTGAACTTGGCAGAACTCTGGACCTAAAGCTTGCTGTAGCCAGGTGGTATTACTCTGGGATGGCGTCATGGGGGGTGGGGGTGGGGGATGAGTCGCAGGAAGGCTTTGCAGGAGGAGGGGGCCTCAACAAGGCCCCTCTAACGCGGGGCATGGGCACTCTGATGATGGTCCAGGGTCAGCCTGAGCTCAGCGGGCATCATCGCTACCCAGACAGTCCTGATCAACACGCTAGGAATGCCCTCTCTAGGAGGAAAGGCTGCGGAGGGATCTCTTCCCTAAATGTAACAAATATTTATTAGTTTAACTCAGCGAGGAGCCATGGGCATTTTATTTTTTTATTTTTTTTTTAAAGAATTTTTTTTTTTTTAAAGATTTTATTTATTTATTTGAGAGAGAGAGAATGAGAGACAGAGAGCATGAGAGGGAGGAGGGTCAGAGGGAGAAGCAGACTCCCCGCCGAGCAGGGAGCCCGATACGGGACTCGATCCCGGGACTCCAGGATCATGACCTGAGCCGAAGGCAGTCGCTTAACCAACTGAGCCACCCAGGCACCCGCCATGGGCATTTTAAATGGAATTAAGTTTTCAGGCAAAAAAAAAAAAAAAAAAAAAATCCACACCTCCCAGCAAATAAGCATTCACCCAGATACCCAAAGGGTATGTCATGCAAGCATTTTGTGGGTGTAGTTTCTCCTACCTGTACAAACTCATTCTGATGGAGATCGATGTACTGGAAGGCCTTCTCCAACAGCCCAGCGGGCGGGGAGGACGGAGAGAACATGCCTCTCTCAAGCAGCAGCAGGGAGGCAAGGAGAGAGGACACCTGGAGTGGGCCATAGGGGAGGGACAGCAAAATAAATACCGGATTTTGGACTTTCAACCTTTCAAATAATTCAAGAAAGCTTATGTTATCCAACACAGCTGCTTCCAGTCATTTGGACTAAAATAACAAAGGTAGTAGAACAGGAAAGATATCCTTTGCTTTATCTTCACCGAAATGCTTCATTTTCAACACTTAAGAATTTCAGTAAGACAGAAACCAAGAAAACAAGCCCGTCTCTCAACGCCACGCTTGGGTTGTTCCTGCCATGGAATCGTTCCCATCGGCTCTCGTCCTGAGAAGGTAAGTCAGTGCCCTACGCCCGGGTGGCAGGGGCAATATTTGTAAGAGAGATTAGTGGGAAGCACTTCAAAACAAAACAAAACTTTTCTGTATGATCAACCAGTTTATTAGAAAAAAAATATTTGGTAAGGACTCTCTAAAATCCTGTGTGGTCTTGTGCGTTTCTCCCATCGCTCCTAAAGGTACAGGGCCTTCCGCAGAAACTCCCAAGCCCTGTTGCGATGCAACACGGAAGGCCTGAGGCTCACGTGGACACTGTTAGCCACGCTCTCGTCTCCCCGCAAACCCTTCTGGCCTCTCTGCTTCCATCGCTGAGGGGGCCCTAACTGTAAATGTGGGACCTGCCAGAGACCCCGGCCTCCCCCCTCCTCCCTCCCCCGCGGCCCCTTTCCACCATCCCTCCGCCCCCATGGTGGGCTCCAGGCTGGGCTCAGAGCAAAAAAACTGGGTCCAGAGGAGGGTAGGCTGACCAGGTTCCGAGCTAAACTAATGCTCTTCTTCCCGCCCAGCTCTTCCTTCTGGATTGTTGTACATTTTTACAATAGAACCATTTTAGATGTAGGCTGCTTCCTCCCTTGGCCTCCGCTTCCAGGCCGAGGTGAGGACTCGTGTCTACAATACAAGAAACTGCAACTCAATAATAAAATACGAATTAACCCAGTTTAAAAGTGGGCAAAGGATTTGAAGAGACATTTCTCTCACCAATGGCCAATAAGCACATGAAAAGATGCTCAACCTCATTAGCCATCAGGGAGATGAAAATCACTTCACACCCACGAGGACGGGTTAAAATGGAGAAGTCCTACAACAGGTGGGGATGTGAGGCGGCGGCCCCTTCCTGGGCAGGCCCCCGACTGCATTCCTCCTGGCAGCCGAGAGGCAGAGCTAATCCAAATGACCATCCGCAGACGAGCGGATACACAAGACGTGGCGGCCACACACAAGGGGATGTTGCTCAGCCACGAAAACAGATGGAGGGCTGACCCACGCCACGGCACCAACGAACATTTAGCACATGGTGGGAAGTGAAGGAAACCGGACACAGATACTGCAGATTACCATCTGCATTATCAGCCCATGTATGTGGAATGTCCAGAACAGGCAGATCCTGAGACGGGGGACCTGGCAGGCTGCCGAGGGCTGGGAGGATTGGGGGAAATGGGGAGCGAGTGCTGATGGGCAGGCGTTCTTTCTGGGTGGCTGGAATGTTCTGAAATTGTGACGGCTGCACAACTGGATATACTAAAAGCCATTGGAGTGTGCAGTTGAAATGGGTGAACTGTATTGTAAGGCATGTGAATTACAGTGCAATACAGTCATTATAAAAATAGCGATCATAAACGGAAGCACTCATTCAATAATATATCACCAAGTTGGAGAAATGCCCATAAAGGAAGCAAAGGAGTGGGTAAAAATAAGGTAAAAAGGGGTGCCTGGGCGGCTCAGTAGGTTAAGCGTCTGCCTTCAGCTCTGGTCATGATCCCAGGGTCCTGGGATCGAGCCCCATGATGTCGTCAGGCTCCTTGTGCAGCGGGGAGTCGACTTCTCCCTCAGCCCCTACCCCTGCTCATGCTCTCTCTCTCTCTCATAGATAAAATCTTAAAAAAAAAAAAAAAAAGGTGAAAGGGAGCCGGGCTCATTCATGAACAGATTAAGAATTTAGTCCAGTAGATGGTGCCAGTGGGCCGTTGACAAGCCCCCTTTGCCTTCTGTTCTGAGAGGACTGAGGCTGGATTCAGCTAAACTCAGCTAAGCAGAGCCAAAAGCCAAAGGTTACAAATAAATCCCAAGGAAATGAGTCCTCAGACCCGCACTGGCAGGAAGATGGAGCTCTGGGCACCCAGGAAAAGCCCTTTGAAATGGAGTAGGCTAATTTTTTGCAGCTGATACACCTAAATCAATATTTGAACTTTTATTATTCATTTGTTCAATTTCCATTAAAAATTATTTGATGCTCCTCTCTGATAAAAAATAAAAAGGGGAATTTGAAGAAGAAAAGGGAGCCACGGGCAAAGAAGGAAAACGGTGACCGCAAGGACTGAGAATATTTCCAGTGTCCGTGGGAATTGCCTCCTTCCCAGTGGGAGCCGCAGGCCAAAGACTGATCTTCCAGAAAGACTGTTCCTGCACACTTCACCCCTCACTTCCCCCTTCCTGCAGAGCCGACAGAGCCCTGCTGTCCTTCACCCTCAGGCCCACGGGGATTCACTGGGCACCAGCCGCGCCTTTAAGATCCTGGGTGGGACCCAGGCTGCAGATCGGCCCCCCCCCCTGGAGTTTCTCATGTTCCTTTACCTTTCCGCTTGTCTCCTTGTGTTACAGTCACGCTTGACCTTGAACTAATCACCCAACAAAATTCTGTAGATATAGAAAGTTGCCAGAGAACTGGAAGGTGAAGCATGGGGTCACGGGGGCAGAGCCGGGAAGGCCCTGGGCTTCCTGTTTTCTTGGGGAGAGCAGGTAGCCCAGCCCTGTGGGGCCCGTCCCAGACGAAACCTTTCTTGCTCCACAGGCTTCTGCTAATTCCAGCTGGTTGTTCTTTGGGAACAAATTTCCTAGAGCCCCTGTGCTGAATCTTAGTTTTAAACACTTTACCTTTTAAGACTTCTTGAAGTTAGGCCCAGGTCTGTGGTGTAACCGCCCCTGGGCCCCAGTCCAGCTCCACCTCCTTAGAGCCTCCCCACCCCCCGCTACTGCCAAGCGTCCCCTGGGACACAGGCCTGTTTTCACTGTCCTCTCCCAGCTCCAGACAACTGGACAAAGTTAGATGCTCCGTGTGCTTAGCTGATGGCAGCCTTGAAATCACCATGGGCTGCCTTCAGAAGGGCACATCCACCACCCACCTGGAACACAGCAGGTGCCCTAAAAGGGGGCTGGGAATGGGGTAAGCTGTTGATGAAACCCACTCCCTCCCCATTTGCTACTGTGGTTGGATTTTGAAGTTGACTAGAATCAACAATAGAAAATGAAAACAGGGTTGCCTCCCACCATAGACAGCCTGACTGAGCTGGCCTCCCCCCCAGGCACACAATGGCCAGAGGCCAAACCCTTTTCTGCCTGTAAGAAACTTTAGTGCCAGAGTCAACCTGCACACCAAGAATTCTACTTACCGAGTCTTCTGGAGCCCAGTGTGATTGTCTTACAGAGGCTGATCTGCTTGGATGGATTTGTTATAATGCAGAAAAAATGCTTGAGTTGCCTACTTTATTTCACTATGACAGGATTAAAAATAAAATCCCAACCCCAAACCAGGCTTTCCTGGAATGTGTTAATTCCCCTGCAGGAGCTGAACTGAACTCAGTGATTCTGCAGAGATTAACTAACTCCTCAGCAAGTCCCTAGAAGCCTGAGCAAGCCCGGGGCGTGGCTTTCGGAAGGCAGCCTGGAGGCAGTCTAGGATGAAGGAGAGGGTTTCAGGGAGCAGAGCTCCCCAGAAAGTCCCCAGAACCTCCAGTTTCTCCACCAGAGAGGGCCAGAAGCCAGGGGGTGGAAGAGGAGCTGGGTGCGGTCCTGGGGAGCAGGTAGGACAGGCAGGAAGCCTGCCCCCAGTGCCCTCGGGGCCCCAGGCTCTGTACACAGTGCTCTAAGTGCTCTATCCTGGCCACTCCCGACTGCTGGGGTGCATGTTCTCTGCCTCCCTCCGGTCTTCGCCCCACGCAGGCCGCAGGGAAGGAGAAAGCAGGCATTGTCTGCCCGTGATGTCACCTCAGAAAGGCCTCTTGTGACCCTTTTCATTCCCTCCAGTCTGGCCAGGGACCTGGGCCTGTCCGAACATCAGCTGGAGAGGCCGTCCTGCTCTGCGCCACTTCCGAAGCCGGCTGCCCTCTGGAAACGGGCCAGTTCACAGCGCGACGGCAAACAGCCGGAGAAGGGGTGAAGGAGAGAGCCAGAGGCCTTGCAGGCCTGCCATGTCGCCGAGGTCACGGCCTGAAAGGCGCGGTGCCCTGACGGCAGCGTCACCCGTGGAGCTGGAGGGTCTCCTCAAAGGCAAGGACCGCGCGCCGGGCGTGGCCTTCAGTGCTGAGGCTGAAGGGTGTGAAGCCCAAATCATCAGTGGCGCTGTGCCCGGCAAGGCCCTCGTCGTGTGCTAAGATCGCCCGGCTGTGGTTAGACGGGAACCACTGTTGTCTCTTTCTTCCTTTAAATCTCATTTGGTGGACTTTTCGTGTGAGTGTGAACAGGATAAATCTGAACCACCTGCAGGAGGGACTGTCTGATCTCAGGGCACAGCAGACGAAATCGGGGTCCTGGCGGCAGCGGAACAGAGAAGCATCTGGAAGCTCCAGCAGGAGGAGGAGGGAGGCGGGACGAGGGCGGTGTGCACAGAGGAGCCGAGGAGACCCGGATGGCCCGGGAGCGTAAAGGCAAGGGCGGACCCCAGACCGGGCCACCTCTTGCAATAGTAGTACCGCAGGCTGTGAAGAAACAGTTCCACAAATGGAAGTTCGGGAACAAGGGCAGCCCGAGGAGAGGGCACGAACGTCCATCCCCCATGTTAGTTCCCTAGGGCTGCTGGAACAACGTCCCACAGGAACGGATTCTCCCAGGGTTCTGCAGGTCGGAAATTAGAAATCCCTCTGAGGGCTCTAGGGGAGTCCCTCCTTGCCTCTTCTCAACGTGCGGGAGTGGCTGGCCATCCTGGGGGCCCCCGCCCCCGGCTCACAGGTGCAGGGCCCCGATCTGCGCCTCTGGCTTCACCTGCCTCCGCCTGGGTGTGGCTCCGCGTCCCCTCTCTTCCCAGAGGGACACTGGCAGAGGCTTTAGGGTCCATCCCACCCCAGTATGACCTCATTTTAACTGATTACATCTGCAAAGACCCTACTTGCAAATAAGGTCACATTCTGAGGGTCCAGGTGGACGTGAATTTTGACGCAGGCCACCCTGCGCTTTATTTTACCTCATATTCTATTACGTGTCCACTTCATAATGATCCGACTTGCTTGAAGGTAAGTTGTAGGAGGGCTAGGACTTTTGTCTCCCTTACCTCCCTAAGTGCCTGTCGCAGACTAAGACCCCAGTCAGCTCCTAGGGAACAATTACGTGCAGAGTCCTGAAGGACACCAAGCATACTTGATCTCCACTGACGTCACAACTTCTATCTCAACACTGTGTAAAAAAGCAAAATTGGTCTATTTCAGCTATAACATGAATAAGGGAAATGTAAATGTAAATTTGGGCAGATTTTGTTCCCTCCCGGCAATCTCAAGAGTCTCGAGGGTTTCCAGAAAACCCACACTGGATGTGTTCCTCGTTCTGCGGGAGGCTCTCCTGGCCTCTGTCCCCGATCCACAGCCTGGCAGCCCCGAAGCTGTGCACCCACAGAGTGCACACCAGCTGCTGCAGCCCCCGGGGCCCTGTGCATGCCGGGCACCCGCAACCAGCACACCCCCCGCAGAGCATCGTGGCCGACGGTACCCCTCCTCCCCTAAGGGATTTCGGATTTCCTCTTACTCCTCAGCTTCACTGTGAGGTGTCTGACATACTGGTACGTCTTGCTCAATCCTCAGCATCCATTAGCAAACTGAAGACTCCTTTGTGTCTTCGTTTCTTCGGTAAAATTCTCCTTCTCTCTCCTAGCGCGGCTTCTCTGCCATTCCCTTGACTCTCTTTCTAGAACTACGACCATGGGCGTCTTTCAATCTGTCATGTGTTCTCCAGTTCTCTCAGCTTTTCTTTTTTTCTTCTTTCCTCTTCGCTCTGCTTCCTGGACACGGTGTTGTGCAGGTGACTAGGTCTCTCTTGGGGGCTAGTTATGCATTTACCTGAACTCCTGAGTTTTTCCAATGACTAATTTCCATTTTCAGGACTTCTAAGTGGTTGTGTTTCATACCAGTCTGTTCTTGACTCATATATGCCTTCCGCATGCAATCATCCATCTCTTGAAGAATGTAAACATACATCATTCGCATCCATTTTAAGCAAGTTCTAGGGTTTGTATTTCGGAGGCTATGACCTCGCTTCTCCGTTAATCTGTGGGCTTTCTTCCTGTGGGTCTTAGGTACTTCCGGGTCATCACTGGCGGGCCCCACTTCAGTGACAGCCGTCCTATTCTCCAGAATGCTTTCTGCCTCGGGCTGTCGTGGCTGCCTCCACCAGGCGCCCCACAATGCCTGGTCCACGATCGGGTCTTAAGCAGGCGGCTTAGCGTTCGTTCCCAAACAGCGTGCAGCGGGGCTGGGATGCACCACCGCAGGGGCTTCTGCAATGGCTCCAACTGCCGTCCATGCCCGGGCACTCTGGGACCTATGACCCTGCAGGAGTCTCACTCCTGGACGCCACGGCCTGTTGTAGACCCAGAGTCCAACAAAGCAGCAGCCTCAGCCCCTGCTCCCCACTGTAAGTTTTTTTTTTTTGTTCAGTAGGGATATTTATTGTGTTTCTGAGTCCATGTCTTTGTAATCAAAAATTGAAAGCACATGTAATTGGGGTATCTGAAGCGGATGGGAGCCTTGACCAGAAGTCCCTACAGTGATCTCCCTTCCTAGAAGGCAGGGGCTCCCCAGCCTCAGTGTGCAGTGCCCACATGCAGACTCCCTGGGAACACGCCTCACCACACACTTTCCCAAGTCTAGGGGGATAGGATCCGCAGGAAGAAAAAGCTCCCTGAAAAGCTGCGTGCTCCAGTGACTGTGCCTGAAAAGGCATAAACATCCATGTCCTGGACACCCTCAGCCTCCAAGGCGAGGACATGGGATATATTAATAACTGCGGGCCCCTCACCATGAGCTCACCTGTAAACCAAGGTGCACGTCAACAGGGGCTCTGGGCTCTGTGCCGTTGCCCCAGACCCTTGCTCCTGCAGAGACCCCGGGCTGCACGCAGTACAAGGTGGAGTGAGGTAACAAGGTGCCCAAGCAACCTGTAAAGCTAAAACCTCTTAGTACAGCAGACTCAGGGAGCCCGGGGCACTGGGTTGCTCCTCATCCTACAGTTTTTGGGAGGTTCCACCTGGGCACACTCCCCCCTCCACCTGTGCACACTTCCCCCCCTCCACCTGGGCACACTCTCCCCTCCACCTGGGCACACTCTCCCCTCCACCTGGGCACACTCCCCCCCCCTACCTGGGCACACTCCACCCTCCACCTGGGCACACTCCCCCCTCCACCTGTGCACACTTCCCCCCCTCCACCTGGGCACACTCTCCCCTCCACCTGGGCATACTCCCCCCTCCACCTGTGCACACTTCCCCCCCTCCACCTGGGCACACTCTCCCCTCCACCTGGGCACACTTCCCCCCCTCCACCTGGGCACACACCGCCCTCCACCTGGGCACACTTCCCCCCCTCCACCTGGGCACACTCCGCCCTCCACCTGGGCACACTTCCCCCCCTCCACCTGGGCACACTCTCCCCTCCACCTAGGCACACTCCCCCCTTGCTTCTCTCCTTTCACAAATTCCCCACTCCCTCAGGATGCGCTGCACCCCATTCCTTCAGTGGTAGACAGGGAACAGCGCCCCCAACTTTATGTGCCAGTGGCCTTGGAAGCTGAGTGTGGTCCTTTTCAGTGCCATGCATAGTCCAAAAAAGGCACCTCTGTTCCAACCAGAGAGCTTCTGAATGGGGAGGATTGTAATCACTTGAAAGAGCAATTGAGATGCAGGACACTTGAGGAATTATGGGGGCCAGAGGGGAGAGGTGCTTTGGGGACAAGAGTCCCTTGCACCTGGATGTGCAGGAATGACCTACTGTCCGGTGTACAGGGCTGGGAGGGGGAGGAGTGGGGCTATCCTTTTGGTTCACTTCCTCCTGCTGCATTTCCTATGGGCCCCAAATTAGTGAGGCTAAACTTAAAACAGCTTGTCTGGGCTCCATCCCATAAGCAATCCACCCACATGCCCCCTGAGGCAGGAGCTCTGTGGGATGCCCAGACAGCTGTCAGGACTTGGCAGCCCCTACCTCCACTCTCCTCCCAGATGCAACCCAAACAGTGCTCAGGTTTTTATAAAATATGTCTGCTTAAAAAGTTTCCAAAATCTTTTTGGTAACTTGAAACCTTAAAATTATACTAAGCTTAATGATGGATATTCATTAAATATCCAGTCCATTTCTAAATAAGATAAAATACTGAAACCATTTATAAACCTAAGTTTTAAACATAAGTTTATCTACTTTTGGCTTATTACAGAGAGACAAAAGTTAGATAAGTCTATTGGTAAATATATTCTTTTGCCACATTGAAAGTCAACTGTACTACGAGGAAGCATAGGTCTGTAAAAATTATGAAATGATGTATTCATAAAGTTGCTGATCTACAGAATACGTAACAACCAGCTCACAACTGCTTACCTCCCGGTGTTCACTAGATATCAAAGTTACAAGGGTTAAGAATTCTAATCTATATATGTAAGTAAAACTGCTGAGAATAGTTAGGGTAAAGAAATAAACTCTGTATACAAAGTACACAAGGAAAGTAAGATATGGTTTTGGTAAAAAAAAAAAGGGGGGGTATGTAAGGTGTGAAGATGTGTTCTTATTAAAAGAAAAGAAATTTTGTCCTAGTTTAGGGGTTATCTAAAGGCTGTCTCAAAATTTAAAAACAGGAAAATAAAAAATAAAAACAAGTATCAAAAGTTGGGCAAAAAGAGAGAAAATCTTATATTGTGTAGTGAAACTGGAGAAAAGTAAATGAATTTATTATAAGTTTTTTTTTAAGAGCTCTACTCTCAACAGTGTGACTATGTAAAACTACAACTGAATATTCTTTCTCAATTCAAAGAACAAGATTTTCTTGGATTATTGTAAAAGATTGTTCTTTACATGTTGAGCAATCTGCCCAGAAAATAAAGATTATGTGCCTTATCAAAATAACCTCCTGTACTTCATGTTGCCTTAATCAGGTCTTTGATTACTTAAGAAAGCTGAGTCTCCTCAATATTAAAAGAACTAAAGTGTTTTTTCTTCTTCTTCCTCCTTTTTTTTCCCCCCAAACTATGTGACTTTCTGATTTGCCCTTGCAATGTTTAAATTGTCTCTCTGGTTAAATAGACAACGAAGTTACTATGTCATGTGAACTCTGATCATATTTAATCAAGTTTTAAACCTCTGGACATTTTTGACAACTTCCAAAAGTCAAATTCTAAATGAAGTCTTTTTGACCTAGAACCAATTTGGGGATTTTTCCCGAGGGTCCCTGGAAAATCTTAACGATTTGGGAGTGATATTAACTATAATTAACTAAACTATAATTAGGCCTATGTGATATGTTAAATTACATGAGAAGCATTGACAAATAAAAGTGATGTTTAACCTTCTGCAGGTTATATTTGTAGGTTTACTAATACAAGTATCTCAAAAATTGTATAAAATTTCTAGAAATCTGTCCATGTTCTTACTGTACATCGAATCCATCATAATTCCAACGTTTAATTTGAAATGCTGTGTCCCTCAGAAATAACCAAATTTCAGTCAGTTCAAAATGAGCTTTCGAACATCTGTAGCCACGGCTATGTTTCAGTCTTAGTCACAGATGGTTACTGCCTCACTCTGGTTCTTCTCCCAGAATATCTGTAATCAGCTGCAGCAAGAACGCTCCATGATGGAGCACTAGAGGGGCTCCCAGACCCCGCCATGGGGCTGAGCATGGATTCCCAGAATAAGAAAGAGCTGATGCCATCACAAAACTTCTAATCCAGAATCAAGCAAAACAAAAGTTCACTACAGGGAACCAGACGAACTGATGAGGATGATTGTCATTTTTTAACTTTTTGTTTGAAATCATGCTCGTTCCTTTAAGATTTAAGGAAACCCTTTATCTCTTTTCTTAAGCTATCTTTAACTTACAGTAATCTGATAAATTATCTCTGTAAACAGAAATGAAACATTTATGCTTTTCTCCCTGCCTGAGCCCTCCAGAATTTGTAAACTTTTATTGAGTGCTCTTATTTTCATTGCAATATAATTCATATATGTGTGTGTGTATGCAAATGCATACATTAAATAGGAATCTGTCCTCTTCATAAGAGTATATAGTTTAAAACATTGATTATCAAAGCCTTGACTGGAAGGCCAAATTTGAGAATAATATGCATAGAATCAGATATGACCAGTTTTAAGGAACTAAAATTGACTTTATCAAACCAGTAAAGCACCCCCAAACCAGCCTGGTCTCTTGCTTACAGAAACAGTTTCTAGCCTCACAGGCGAGTAAGGATGGACACTTTCTGGCAGACCCAGGAAACTTCAAATACGAATACCATATGATTTCACTTATATGTGGAATCTGAAAACCAAAACAAAGGTACAAACAAACAAGAAAACCAGACTCTTAAATACAGAGAACCAACTGGTGGTTGCCAGAGGAGAGGCGGGGAATGGGTGAAATAGATAAAAGGGATTAAGAGGTACAAACTTCCAATTACAAAATAAATAATTGACAGAGATAAAAAGTACAGCATAGAGAATAGAGTCAGTACAAGGTAGTAACATTGGTGATTGCGCTTATCATAGAGAGCATGAAATAATATCTAGAATTGTTGAATCGTTATATTGTATACTTGAAAATAACACTGTGTTAATTATAATTCGATAAAAAAATTATTAAAAATAGATCTTGGGGACCCTTAAGAAGAGAGGAATTCACCCAGATCTGTAGGTACTGCAGGCGAAGAATGATGGCAAGTCCTTGGCTTGACTTCCTGGTCTAGAGCAACTTTAGAAAAGTCTGATCTGAGATTCTTTATTGAAAGTTCTGGCAAAGCAGACTTAAGAAGAGCCTATATGACCAATCACTATTCTTGCTGCACTTACATAAATAACCAGGCCAAGTGTAATGCGACTAGACTTACTTTAGGAACAAATTAATCCTACTGTGATTACATCTGCTAGAAACGGAGGTGATGGTAGAGAGAATACTGTGTTTCAGCGCAGAACTGTAGTGCACCCATTATCAGGCCCCACTTCTAGTCACTGTCACCCACCTATAAACCAGGCTGGGTCCCCAGCTCTTTCTGTTTCCTCCAATAACTAGCTACAACTCTCCAAACTAATGTTTCCAATTTTCTCCCACCCTCTGACTTGGAATCACTAAGAACTCAAACTTCCCTTTTCCCGAAAGCCCTACAAACCGAAGCTGATATAAACTTGCAAGAAATCACTGCAGTGGTTCATACACGGACACCTTTTTCCACCTGCGGCTGTGCGGGGCCATGAAGGAAGTTCACCAGAACACCCAGTGCCCGTCACCAGAGTCACCCAAACAGCAAAGCAGGAATTCAGCAGAATCACACCCACTGCTGCACCATCTAAAGATGCTCCAAACCCAACATCCCGAAAAATCTCAACTGATCGCCCTCTAGACTCAAATACAGATTTTGGAGTTTGTTAGAATCTAAACTTTTATTTTTGTTTCCTTAGAAGTGCTTCCTGTTAAACAGCTAACTGCCTGCACCGTAGCGAGCCCTAAAAGAGATCCAAGCAGATGCAGGGTTCCTCGGGGCTGGAGGTAGGACTGGGAAATAGGGAAGTCATTGCGAAGGGTACAGGATTTCTTTAATGAAGTCATGAAAATATCCTAAAATCAGCTGTGGTGATGGTTGCACGTATCTGTGAATACACTAAAAATCACTGAATGACACCCTTAAAATGCAGATTCCTGGGCCTCCACCCCACAACTAGGCACACAAATGGTTGGGGGTGGGGAGTTCAGGGTTTAGCAAGAAAGGCAGCAGTTTGCACCTGCATGTGTATGATTCTCCACATCTTCCATCTTCCTCTAGGTGGTACCCTGCCTTCTACATTCAACAGCTATGAATACTTAATAGGAAAATGCGCTTTGTGGAAGAAAAAACGAGCATGGAAAAGCACACTGGCCTATGTCCTAGCTCGCCCCACCTGCAGCAGCTGCTGGGGCCTCATCCAAGTCCCCGCCGGGCTCCACCACTCACTGGCACAACTGCATGCCAGGCACTGCATAAGCTCCTGGAAAATCTTCCAGATACCACCTCCCTTGGGGGGAGACAGTGAGTACCTAAGAACATTTCGGTGGCAGCATCGCAAGGGCCACATGAGCATCCGTTCTACCCACCTGACGCCCAGGACACACAGCACACACACTCCTTAGGCAAATGAGGTCTAGCACTCTGGTCCCCTAGACTCTGGACGTTGGAGGGTCTACTCACCACTCTTCCTAGTTTGGGATCCATTGGGCTGAAGTTCTGTAGCCTCTAGCAATTCCCCTGGACCTCAAAGGAAAGGGGAAGAGAAGGTCTCATCTAGGCCCTCAGCTGGCCGTATTAGCTATGTCTCGGCAAATGGCTTGTCTGTGCTCCCACCCCTGCCCCCAGAAGGAAGACGAGGCGGGACTAGTGGACCTATTCACATCTGCAAAACAAAGAGGCTTCAGAGATACTCATTCAATTCGAAGGCAGAGGAAGAGACAATGCATCTCATACGCACAGATAATGGGAGGACGTAGTGGCCCGGAAGTCATCTGATGCTACTGAAGAACAGCAGGGCAGCTCTGGCTGTGGGTGATACAACAGGTGCTTCACTGGGCACGCGCGGAGGGCGTGACCCTTGAGAGGAGTGTGTGCGCCCAAGGTCAGCAGAGCTGAGACAGAAGCAACGGGAACACAGCTTCTTGCCTTGAGCAGGGTCAAAGCCTCTGCTCGGTCGTCGTGGGCCCTCGTGATGAATGCTACGTAACGTATGAGCTAAACTGGTGTTATAGGCCCTGTGTTAGCCTGCTCAGGCTGCTACAAGGACGTACTGCAGACTGGGGGTGGCTTAAACAACAGAAATCTATTCTCCCCCAGTTCCAGAGGCTGGAGGCCCAAGGTCAAGGTGTTGGCAGGGTTGCTTCCTTCTAAGGGCTGTGAGGGAGAACCTCCTCCTGGCCTCTTCTGATTGCTGGCTGGTTGGTGTTCCTCATCTTGCAAACACATCACCTAATCTCCGCCTTCATCCTCACATGCCCTTCTCCCCATATGTGTCTGTGTCCAAATGTCCCCCTTCCGTAAGGACATCAGTCATATTGGATTAGGGCCGGCCCTACTCCAGTATGGCCTCATCATAATTAACTGCATCTTCAAAGACCCTATATCCTAATAAAGTCACATTCTGAGGTACTGGGAGTTAGGACTTCAACGTATGCATTTGGTGGGTGGGGGGAGACACAATTCAACCCCTAACGGGCTACGGCTCCAATTCACTTCGAGAGATCTTTCAAAACACACAGACCATGAAGCCGGATCTCCAAGGGTTATCATGAGCAGGGTTGGTCCCTGATCTCTCCTACATGCATGGTTGGGGCCACAGGACCATCTCCATCAAAGATTTGGGTCAAAGTCACACCGTTCCCTCTCAAGTAGGCTTTGGCCACGACCACCTGTCACTCCAAGGAACTTCTCTTCTTCCTAAATAACTGTTCAAGGTATGCATTGAAGCAGCCTCTTCACAAAGGCCATTTCAAAGAACACAGGTCAGTGGAATTCTGCAAACCATCTTTTTATGCAGCATTCCATAAGGGGGCCATTGTTGTGGGCCACAGAGTAACAAGTTCTCCTAAACACAGGTGATTTACAATCCTGGCCATGAACTCGAAAGGAATGGACTGTACCAGGCTCCGCTGGGAGCCCAAGGTGGTCCACAGTCACATGTCAATGGGAAACGGTGCAAAGGAAAAGGAAGGCAGGCGTGAAAACCATTTGATCAGGCTTGCTTCTGGATCCCCACACAGCACGCTCCCTGAGGCCACAGAGGCTGATGCCGATGTTAAAATTAGCTCTGACAAATGAGTAATAAAGCAGGCTCCACGAATCCTTCCCCTGATGCTATGCAGTCTTTATTTCTGTCTGATTGCCTTGGGACGTATGTCATGGCGTAATGGCGGTGCAATTCCCAGTACGTTTCCATCTCCTACGGAGGGACGGGAATGGGAGCCAGGCACATCCCTCAGGCGCAGTGAGGAGTGGCCACATGACCTCTTGAGAGTAAGAGGCAAAGGGACAGGACTGGAGCTAAGTCTGCATTGCGCCTGAAAGCACAGGCTGAAATGCGGCTGCGGCTGTCGAAGATGAAACAGGGCGGAGGGAACCGGGCCCCCAGGGACAGAAGAGCTGCCCCAGCAGGCCAACCTGCCTGTGCGGGCTTGACAAGGAGAAAGGCGCCAACAGTCACGGTGGCAAAGCCTCCGGTTACCATGACCTGGCCTACATCCTCACTAATTCATGCGGTTAAGGATTCTGACATATCGGTCATTTTTCCTGACACTGTTAGCAAAAGTAACAAGGGCAGAATGAACTTGACTTTCCCTCGGTCACGTGGAGACACTCAGTTTCCTTCAGGTTGAAAAGGCTCCTCTCAGCTCATTCTCATCTGGGTCAAGGGGGTGGCCCAGTGAGTTCTATCTTTTTCTACATGAGACCAGGGGGTTGTATTTTTGTTGGTGGCCAGCTTCCTGCAGTGGAGCGACGATACAGGGCAAGCTTTGGATTCCGGTAATTCAGAGGCCTCCCCCAGGCACAGAACCGCTTCTGCAAAGCTTATTGATGAACACCATCTTGTCAGCACCGCATGAAACTCCATCCCCTGACTAGAAACCAGAGTTAAAGCACAAAGACCCCGAGCGAGGTGGCTCAAAGGACTGAGCCACACGAGTGTTCCCAGTGAGCGAGTGGTGGCAGATGGGGAGAGGGATAGGGAGGCTGGGAGGAAGATGAAGAGGCTGCGGGGGACACGGGCTTCCAAGGACACTGCAGAGGAGAACCGGGCCTCTAAGAACCACTTCCCGTGTCACCATTCTGCTCTATTCAGTGTTGGGTGGGAGGACCCAGTGAAAAGCACCGCCGCCCCTTGTGTGGGCTGGGGAGAGGAGGCAGGTGCGAGCCCCGCCCCGCCCCCCCACACGCCCCCACAACCAGCCATGTCCCCCGCACAGGACAGTGTGCCCCACCAGTGAGTCGGATGGGCAGGAACTCTCCCAGAGGCTTCATTTTTGCTTTTTTATTTGGCAACACATACTGAGAACAAATAATCCTTCCAGTTAGGTTTAGGTTTTGAGGAATCACAATAAAGAGAAGACAGGAGACACCAGTACTGCTTTCGGGGCTTGAAACAAGGACAGAAGCCTCAGGAGGGCGAAGGATCAGAAGGCGTGGCCCCTTGAGGCATCAGGTGCCCGACTGAGTCTTCCGAGAGCGCGCGAGCCTGAGTCAGGAGGCAGAGATGGGACAGCAAGCGCCAAGAGCTCTGTGCAGCCCAGCTGGACGGCAACCAGAACCTCCTACAGAATGGGTGCTTTTAGAGCCTGGCTATTCTCTGCAGACCTCACGCTGAGCACCTCCAAGAACTCGGCGGTTACTCAGGCTGTGCCAGACAAGAGGGCGAGGAGAGAGACGAGCTGTGCTTTCCTGAGCGGCGGGGACAGAGCGAGGACAGGGGCAGGACTCCACGGCCAGGGGCACCTCTCCCTTCTACAGCCGAGACACTTCATACAGGTACGCAGCCAGCATTTTGGTTCCTTCTATGTAGTTGAGCCTGATGGAGAAGAACAAGCCCTCGTGTCGGCTGCCGTCCAGTGGTCCAGGAGCGCGCCCGGAATTCTTTTTGGGAGTCCCACCGTCCTGGATTGCTGGCCTTTAGTTCCACTGGCCTCGAGAATTTGGCCACCTGGTTCTCAAGTGTGGGTTCAGTCCATCTGCCCCACTAGGACCTGTCCTGGTCATGGTCTAACAGAATATACTGGGTCCCACACAGTACTTAAGAAAAAGCGCCTCACTTTGATCACAGCCCCTCCCTTTGTTGGGATAAGAGGCCTCCTCTTGTGCCTGGATACCCACGTCTCTGTCCCCTCCCTCTGCCTTTGGTCTTAGCCCGCGACTAGCCCACCCTGCGACCCCCCTATGGCTCCTGTTCTCTGTCCTTCTCGGCTCTTCCATACTGACCATGGGTCCTCCCTGCCTGCCTGGGCCTCTCCTCACTGCGCTAACTCAGGGACCACCTTCTATCCCTGTTGGTTAAGGAACCCCCCTCATGTCTACATAAGCCAGGAACATCTAGAAGAGGCTTAGGAAGCCAGCAAGGACACTGATTTTTCAAACAGGCAAAGCGCATAGGTTCTTTAGGAATCCTAGATGATGTCCTAAGACAGACACAGAGCACTGGCTGAACCCTGCTGTGAAGAACCCTCACCTCCCCCATGGCCCCGTCCCTGCCTTCCACCAGAAGTGCTTGCTACCCCAAAGATGGTGGTAGCAAGCAGAGCACTGGCCTTGGGGAGCCAAACACCCGGCCCCTCCTGCTCTCCAATCAAAGCAGCCAGACAGGTGGGGAGGAAGCAGGCCGGGAGGGAGCAGGTGGGGAGGGAGCAAGAGGGGAGGGAGGAGGCGGGGAGGGTGGTGGAGGGGAGGGAGCAAGAGGGGCTGGAGGGCACATGGGGGCTCTCCGGGTTTCTCGCTGGCAGCCATGAGGAAATGAACCCAGGGGCAGGCCGGAGGACCCAGAGCCTCACCTGTTGAGCTTTTCATTCTGGGAGTGGGCACCATCATCTGCTGAGCCCACAGGCAGTAGCATGACATTCTTCCCAGTAGCCTCCTGAAAGGTCAAAGTCACAGGAATACTGCCGCCTTCCCTGGTCAAGTCAGGCTCGACACCAAACACTGGGGGAGAAGAGTAAGAGACATGGTGAGCTTACAAGTGGTGAGGCCGGGGATCCACTGCACACTTACTACCCAGCAACATGAGTCCAAGCCCCGGGTGTGGCTCGGGGCCGGCAGCCCCACTCTCAAGGTCGGCAGGGGACACGGCCCCGCTCGCACTGGGGGCTCTCCTCAGGGCCCTTGCCTGCATCCCCAGGAGAAGTCTCACCTGTTTTCAAGGCTCTTCTCCCAGCCATGTAATGTGGGTGGTTGAAGTCAGACACCCAGGGCTTCCCACCATGGCCCATGTACACTTTGAACTTGTTGGGACTGCACAGGTCAGCAAATTTCTTCGTCAGGTAGCTTGTGACCTGAGTCACAAATGAGACACAATGTATTCTAAGCCTGGCACCTGATCCAGTGCTAGAGATCTCCTCTACAGCGGTCTATGGTGGGTCTAGAGGGGGCCTACAACTAGTCTACGGTTAAGTCTACCACGAGTCTACACTGAGTCTACAAAGAGTCTATGACGGTTCTCATTTTCTGCTGTGAAACACTGAGCACAACTATGGTAACAAAAAAAGGGATTTTATCAAGAAACAAAATCCAGCATTTGAAGGTGAAAGGTAATGCTTTCATTTCAAACAATTCACCCTTTACACAGACGTTCCCATAGGATAATATTTAAATCAACTCTTTAAAAAATGTGCCTTGACTTGCTTTACAATATTCATCACATCTAGACGAAAAGTGGAGGCCGGTGCTGACTGGGGCACATCTGATGACAAAATCTCAGGCCTCAGTTTCCTCAAAAGTCCTTGAGGCCATCTCTCCGGGAAATCTCAGATGAGGGCAGGGTGACTGCCTCCCAGTGCGCCCCCTCCGGAATCTACCCCTTCTGGAATCGTGCCCTTCCACTCCTCACTGGCCCAGACGCAGCTCCTGTGGATTCTCACTTCAACCTACTCGGGCCAAAGTCAGCATTTGACCTGAAGCCTTACGATGAGGTCAGGGGTCAGGTTTTAGCATGCCTCAGCAGTGACAAAGGTCACACGTGATGCTTTTTATATGGCCTTTATCTTTGATCAGTTTCTGAACTGCTTATTCTGGTAATTACTGGGCTGGAGGGAGTCAAGAAGTGAGGAAGTGTGGGTCTGGGGTTCAGTGCTCTCCTAAAAGTCTTTACGCTCAGTCTCTTGTCGTGGAGAAGCCCCTCCCCGAGTCCCAGCTCCCTCACATGCCTGCTTGCTGACAACTTCTGGAGTCATGTTTGGCACGAGCCTGATGGAGAACTTGCCGACCACTTTCCTAGGAATCACGGTCTTGGCCCCCGACCCAGAAAAGGCGCCTTCAATCCCATGGAGGGAGAGGGACGGGAACCGCCATCTGTGCATCAGGATGTCTTTCTGCAGAAAGCAACAAAGTGGGTCAGGGAACAACACCGTCTGCTTACGAAGGAGACGGCAATGGCATCTGCGAAGTTCTTCCTAGTGGCCCGCCGGCCTGGGGTCTACACAATCACAGGCAGGCGGTGCAGACCCTGGAGGGCTGAGAGATGAGCCTGCCCCAGATGTGCTCTGGTTCCAGCTTTGACACACCACAAAGAGAGGGACTCTGCCACACTCCGAACAGCCTCAAGTGTGGCATCCCAGCCTCACTGCGGCTCAGGACTGCCGGTGACTAAGAGAGCCATGGGCTTCCCACCAGCCCCGCAGAATTGAGGGGTAAGTCGTGGTCCCACAGATATCAGAGCTCCTGTGGGGCCAGAGGCACGAGGAACCAGGACGAAGAGGGCAGCACAACGCAGGCCACCTGTGAGCTCCCCGGCCCCCAGGGGAACAGAAGGCAGGGGTAGTTCCTACTGGGAGGAGAGCCAGGGCCATCCACTGAGTCCTGGGCCCAGTGACCACGGACAAGCATCATCGTCACCCTCTGCCAAGGGGACTGGCCCAGAGCAGGCCCTCACCTCCGAACGTACGACTGATACCACGGCCTCCCATGCCCCCTGCACCCCAGCAGCGGCACAAGACAAGTCAAAAGAGGACACAGGGCCACCTGACCAACAGGCTGGCGAGGAGAAACGTGACAGGGCCCTGGGGCTACTCAGGGACTCAGCCACCTAATGTGTGGACTTCCATTTGTGAACCAAATAGGGTCAGTGAGACCTAGAAGGGAGACACGTGGCCCGAAACGCAAACACCTTACACAAACACAGACACCAAGTGGAAGGCAACAAGGCCGGAGCAAATGGAAGTTTGTTCAGAAACCCACTTTCCCAGACGCGCCCCTGCCCCTGACTAATCTCTCCTGGCCTCAGGCCCTGAATGACAGCTGCCCATAAGGGCCTTCCGCAACCCCCACCACCCCCACCACCTGCGAATTCTTGCTCCACTCGGGCCCACCAACTCTCCCTGGTGTGTGGCCTGCTTCGGAGGTGCCCCCACGCCCGCCCGGCCCCCACGCCACCAGCTCCAGGCTCTCCCCTGCAGTGGCACAACTCGTCTCCCCGCCTCACTGCACCCGCTCCAAACCCGCAACGCCTCTGCCACGGCCTGCCCACGAGGGAGGTCTGATCGGCTCACCCTCTGCTCCAACCCATCCGTCCACCGTCTTCCAGGAGAGCACACGAGCTCCTCGGCACACCACAGGCCTGCACGCCAGGCCTTTTCAGTCTGAATCCCAGATCTCCCCCGGCTGGCCCTCCCCACGAACAGCCGGACTCCCCGTGCCCTGCTCTGCTGCTCACCCCTACCGACCCCCACAGGCCTCCCCCCTCCCAGACACACAGGGCTCCAGACCCTGGAGGGGCCTCCACACTCTTTCACACTTCTTTGCCCATTGGTCTCCTGGAGAGATGAAACTCACGGGCTGGGCCTGACCATATTCTTCTTGCACCCCAGGGCCTGTTGCTGCAATTCAACTAATGGCTACATCAGATGTAAACTTATACTCAGGCCTCACAAGCCAGGAACCAGACTACTTAAGAGAAAAATCCTAACACAATTTTTTCTTAATAGTTAAGTAACCACTTTGTGCAAATGCTTTCCACCTTTTCCAACAGGTCCCCAGCTGTTAGGGATGCCTTCAATCATCTCTGGGCCCAGCGGTCAAACATCGTTCTACAAGTGCAAATCAGGCAAAAGCTACCTGCTACTATGTGTTCTCTGCGTACATTCTCCAGCTCCTGAGTTGTCACAAGTCAACATGTGACATTTTTAAAAACCTCCCAGTTCCAATTCCATTTCCAAGCCTGGTAACGTGCTGCTTTCCAGTGTCGGAACCATCCGAGGGCTCCGGGGCACAGGCGTATGCCCAGATCTGTGGCGGCACCTCTGGCTCCTGCCCTCGGGGGTCCCCTGCCCAGGGCACGGTGGGAGGCCTTGTGAGCGGACAGACCGGGGCGGCGGGCGGACCCGGGGGGGCACGCACCTTGCAGCTGTGCAGCAGAGTCTCTGCCCCCACGTCCCGGGCGTACTCCTCCAGGTCGAAGTCGATCTTGTCGTAGAGGCCCAGCTCGTCCTCCGTCACGGGGGCCACTGCCTCGTTGATGCCGGGGATGAGGATCTTTCCCTTCCTGTCCACCAGAGAGCCTGGGAGGGCACGGAGGAGGGGCGCTCAGCAGGCAGGCGGCACAAACACAGCAGCGCTTACCACAGGGGCCCGGAGCCCACCCCCCGTCCCCCCCGCCCCCCCCCCCGTCCCCGCCCCGGGGCAGAGGAGGACCAGGAGCTTCGCAGTGACATTTCCTGGGCATGCAGAGCACTGGAGCACTGCCTAGGAACAACTAGTTAAATATCTAAACCCAGTGAGGTGGGCAGTATCATCTTCCCACTTTAACATAGGGACAGAGATGCAGAAGGGTGGGTGACCTGTCCCCTGTCACAGACCAGGAGATAGACCGAGCAGACTGCCTCCCACAGGCTTCCTGTAAAAGCCACTATACTCATTAATATTTCTTTTTTAATCCATGTTCCACAAGAAACTAGCTGCTCCCAAGCGAAGGAGGCCAAGACAAAGAGAACAGAGTAGCCTCCCGTATGGCAGCCGCTACCGGAGAGGGAAGGAGACAGAACTTCGGCAAATCCCGGGGTGAGGCAAAGTTATACCCAGCCTTAAACTAGCAGGATGCTGGGAGGACTGGGCGGGGCCTCCCTCCCGCAGAGCCGAGCACGCAGGAGCCCTGGTTGGGGTGCTACAGCATCAAACAGACCGAGGCAGGCGCCCTCCGAGGGACGCAAACTACAACCGTGTCACGTGATCCTAGGGGCCAGCTCGGACAGGGCCGAACGGAGCCGGGGCTGCCCTAGTTGGGTCCCAGAGGCAAGGCAGGGTTTAGTGACACACAGAGGCACCCGGGAGACAGACGCAGAAATGAAGCATGGCCATCTTTCAAAGGGAACGGTGAGCAGAAGGAAGTAGCAACAGGGAAAGAGATGAGAGCACCAACTGCTGAGGACAGCCCGAAACAAGCCACTCCAGCTTGTTTTGGGCTGTCCAAGCAGCGACTGAAATCCGTGCTTACCCATCAACATGATGAGATCCGTCATGGCCTCATGCACCGAGCCCCCGTACACGCCAGAATGGAGGTCTTTGTCACTGCACTCCACCTGGACGGAAACAGAGATCCCTCTACCTGCTGCTCAGCGGGAACTCAGCCTCCTCATGTGACAGTGAAAAGAACGAAGAACATTCACAATTCTCAAAATCAAAATCTGTTCCCTCAAGGAGCAAAGCAAAGCATTTCCTAAATTATAAAACTTTGGCAGCAACAAAAGAAATACTCTTGGCAACGCTGACCAGGGGGCAAGTGGGGGTGCTGACCACAGGTGAACACACATGGCTTCACAAAGACCCTGCGCTTCTCTGATGAAACGGGACACCCACCATGAAAAGCAGCTTGTAAGGACCTTGGGCCTGAGGACCTAGGGCCAGATCCCGCCCCCCGCTCCCCCTCATTAGCCTGCGATCAAGGTCAGGTTTGAGGCCTCACCAGGCCTGAGTCTCCACACCTGTAAAATGGTAAAGTGGGAGCGTCTGACTCACAGCCACTGGGTTCTTGCGTCAGACTATTTGTAAAGCAGTCTTGAGAGACGAAGCACTCAGAGCAGCAATGGGGATGATTCTGGCATTTTCAGCCTCCAAAACACTCCCTCACAGGAACCAATCCGCCCTGTGTGCTAGGACCCACCCTCATCTGTGGAGGGGATGCAGACTCAGCTGAGCATGGCCCTCCCACTCCGCCCCTGCGCCCAGCTTCTGTGTAGAGCACAACCACTCAGTTCCCTCAAGATCTCTGGTCCAGGCAGACCTAAGGGCTCAAATGTGAACATCTTAATTTTTAACGGTAAGTCTGCAATGCTTTGCTTAAGTCAATCTTAAATGGGCTACAGCAGTTCATCTTTCCTCAACTGCTCCAAGGCAATTCTCCAAACACCCTGTAGCTTGAGGTGGCAGGAAACGGACTCTGGCTGGAGAATCTCGAAGGGTGAAGACCCAGCCTGCTGAGAAGCCTCTGGGCTTCTCCCTCACCTGCATGGCCCCCTTCCTGGGACTTGCCCACTGCACGCTACAGAAGGACAAGGGAGACTACAGGCTGGGAAGAGACACCACGAAACACAGAGAACTTGACATGATACCTCAATGAAAAAGTAGCAAATGCCCCTGAGACCATATGTGATGCAGGGCTTCTTCTTCCCCAGCCAGTAATTGTCAGAAATGCAGACGTAGTCCACATCTTTGAAGAATGTGTCTTTATGGGAAAAAATCAGGTCGTCCAAGCCTTCAGAGCCCGACTCCTCCATTCCTTCCAGACAGAACCGAACATTGACTGGAATTTCCTATGAAAGGGAAATGAGCATTGGGAGGCATTCAGTTCTCATGTGCTTTTATTTCTTAGACACCACAGACAGGAAGTCACCAAATGCTTTGCAATCACAAATTTCAAATACTCAACTTCCTCCAGACCCACCGCTCAGGCGGGCTGTGTGCGCCCTGTCGTGACCCTGTCCTCACGTGCTGGGCGGTGAGGGGACATGCACGGAACCAACTGCAGTGCCACCCTCACTGGGGACTCCTGCCAAGGACGCCACAGTATGACCACGCTTCCTATCCACAGGGACCTCTGCACTCACCCAGTGCGAATCAGGAGTCTCCAGGGAAGCCCCAGCGGCTCTCTCCACGACACAGACAAAACCAGTCTTCATCTGCGCCAGGGACCAATCGCCACACCCATATGCCAGAGCAAGCAGAGGCCTGCTCCTATTTCCAGGCGCTCTGCACTATGACCCCCTCTCCATGCTGAAGGCCCTTCTCCCCAAGAGCTGACAGTCACCGCGAGGCGCTGCCGCCCACTTGGCTACTGCTCTGCAGTTTCCCAGGCCCCCCAGGCTGTGCAGTGAGGCAGGCGGCCCTTCCAGATGAGAACGTGAAGCTGCACCCAAGCGAGGTGACTTGCCGGAGGTCACAGAGGCTACAAAATGGCAGAACCCCCCCCGTGGACGCAAATCCATGGAGTCCTCCCCCCGACAGCCCTCTGCACCACCCAGCTCACCTCCCCCTTTCTGTCTCTCAGATGAAATCTTTCCTAGGACCCTGGCACATGGAAAGGATGTAAGCTCTGCCCTGCACACAGCCACCCTCCCCTTGGTCACCCCGGGTCCCAGGGGGCCCTAGAGAAGGGGGAGCCTTCCCAGCCCTTGAGCCCAGTTAGTTGGAGGTTCTGAGCTTCAGCTCCCTCCTGTGCAAAATGACACCTCGGACCAGAGTCCCCGTCCCTCTTCAGATCTACCATTCTACCATCTGACAAAAACGCTTGTCTTATTATTCTTATTTTATCATGGTACTAGATAAAACACAATGCAAAAACTGGGTCTACACAATGGTCAGGATTAGTTTAAAAACAGTTGAAAAGATCAGTAAGTAACAAAATACAAAGTTCCTCCCTACTTTTCTATTTTACAAACTTTAGGCAGGAGCAGATATTTCACATTAAGGAAGTGTATCTTAAAAAATAAAAATTTTTCAGGAGGATAAAAACCACCCTGAGAAAGCTAGGGGTTGCCCACCACCACAGAGCCCACGACTTGGCCTCTAGGTGAGCCGTCTCAGAGGTGGAGCCCGGGGCTGAAAACTCGAATTTCAGGTGCTGCCTGGATTCCTGCTGAGTCATCAGTACCATGGCCTCTGGGCGGCTGTAAAACAATCACAATTCCTACAGCTGGAAAACAAACCTATGATCCTATATCTGATCCCACTGTGCTGATGCGGTTTTGGGGGACCCTGCTTTCTCATAACCCAGTGATCTTTGATCTTTATTGGTTGTTCTGGGGACAGACAGCCCTGCTTTGTATGGCTGTGACAGAGCCAGGCTGTTAGACGTGAAGTACCTGATTTGTCTTCTGGAAGGCTTCCAGGGCGTTCAGCCAGCCGGCCACTGGCCCCTTATCATCGGTTGCACCTCTCCCATACAATTTGCCTACAACAGCAATCAGCAAACTCAGTTACAATCACGATGAAATAGACAAGAAAGTGTCTTGTTGGAGCACCGCTGAGAGCATCGTAGCGCCACCACGGGCAGCTGTCCTGAGACCTCCTCTTCCAACCAGAAGCCCCGTTTTCATTCTGTCAGAGCCCCGAGTCCCCATCCTACTCTATTAGGAGGCCCTGCCAGAGAATCCACCATAATCTAAGAGCAAGCCGCATGGATGCTCCCAAGTTGCCCTCCCCTTCTTCCAGCGGACACAGTAGTCGGCCAGCGCTCCAGTCCCTGCTGACCAGGGCATGGACTGCCGAGCCAGCTTAAGGGGGCCCTGCCAGCCGGCTAGTTACTTCAAATCTACCTCCACAACCAGCTGGTAGCAGTTAAGAGTAGGCAACCCGGTCATATGTCGGACCGCCAATGCACCATCATCAAGAGAGAACTATAAATCTCACACAAGCCCAATTCTGACACCTAATTTGGTAAAGAAAAGAACAGGTTTATTATTTACTGCTCCAGGTCATCACTTTGAAAACCAAAGGACGTGGTACTGCTTCTCCTCCACCTAATTAGTCACAGGGCCCCCACCCCCACCCCGCACACACACTCCTGGGACCCCTAACAAAAGCAGGTGGGCACTGGCCACCACGAAGGACACTCGGCCATCAAGCCCAGACCCCGCTCCCTGCCCTGTCATATGATGCAGAGCTCATGAGAGAGGGACCAGGCCGGAGGAAGGACAGCACTCAGGCAGAGGCGTGCTCATGGTTCAGTCCCTCTCTGGCCAGGTCTGTAACGGCCAGGCCTCGGACTTCCTCATTCTCAGCCTGTTTTTAATATTTGACAGTTTCAGCATGACCACCCCAAAGCAGCATGACGCTCCGAGCCATCGCTACCTTGGGAATTTCTATCAACTAAACCCACTTTTCACAAAAGCTACAGAGTTCTCCTAAAAAGCATCCTCGTTCCTGTGACAAGCACTGACTGAATCGCTCACTCCAACACGCCAGAACTGTGCTGGACAGAGGCTCACAGCGCGATGTGGTCCCTCCCTCCCGGGCTCCCCGACAAGGAGAGGGGCAGCATGCAGCCAGCTGACCACAAGGAAGCTCATCTGTGGCATGAGGTGTTAACCCAGCTCTACCGAGGGTGCCTGTCTGTCTGTCAGGAGCAGGGAGGGGCGGAGTGCGAGGCCTCCCAGAGGGGCAGTGGGTGACCGGCGCTGGTACAGAAGCCGGGGTCATGTGACACAGATGCCAGAGGAGCAATGAGGGGAGACGAGCAGGCAGAAGAACCCGCTGGGTCTCCCGGGAGGTGTCAGGGAGAGACACATCACACTGAGGTCCTCATGTGGCAGGGAAAAGAAGGGAGGAGGACCCACGACTTCAACAAGCAATAGGAGAGCTCTCGGGAGGGGATGAGTGTCAGCTGCGGAGGAGGCCCAGCAGGGACTGCGGGCCCACGGGAGGAGGGCGGGGGTGAGGATGACCTCCAGGTTTGTGGTGCACGGGGCAGGGGAGGCGGAGGGACCCTGTGGCGGCGGTGAGACGGGTAACGAGGAGGAGGGCAGGCTGGGGAGCCGAGACACGGAATTCTGCTCCAGACCGTGGCAAGGGGAACAGCCCGTAGAAATGTGGGTCTAACGCTCAATAGGAGCCCAACGGAAAGTCAGCAATCGTGCTGTGATCACGACTGCGGTGCGGAACTGAATTTCCTCAGAGATGTTGCTGCAAGTGAAGTTTCCTCGATTGTGCACAGTAACGGACACGGCTGAAAGCATCCCTTACCGTCGCGTTCCACCAAGGTGAAGGGCTCGCTGTCCCAGCCATCCTCCAGGGCTGCCGGCTGCACGTCCAGATGTCCGTAAATACACACGGTTTTCTTCTGCGGGTTGGAGCCCAGCTTGCCGAGTAAAATGGGAGGGAGCGGTATCTCAGAGCCATCAGGGAGCTAAGAGTCGAGAAGGAAGCAATCGAGGACAGCCTTTGTTTTGAAAATTCAGTACTTATAGTAGATATTATTAAAATACCTGGAGTATTTTTATGTGTTCTTACCAATCAGCCTACATTGTAGAGTTCAAGAACATACTGAGTACTTAGACCGCATAATGTTCACCAACTGTAGACAGTTTGGTAAATTTTTAAAGGCTGATTTTTTCTTTAACTTTTACATTAATAACATATTATGAAGACTAAGTTTGGGGTACAACTTTGCTCATTATTTTCTAAAATAATGGATGAAAACTACTACCATCTTAAAGCAGGAGATACATGTTTGAAATTCTGCATGTGGATCACAATTTTGCACATAAAAGGATGCAGACCAGAACAGAAGGGAAGGGAACAGAATTTGCAGCAAGCCACACTAAAGCCAGCAGTGAGAGCTGGTGTTCCTTCTAAGCTCCCTCCCCACGCCTAACCAGTCTCCTACAAGCCCCTAAGAACAGAGGTGGGGGGGCAGGGCAGTCACAGCACTAAGTGGACAGGTACTTTAGGTAACGTGCCAGGCTGCCGGGATTCTTGCAGGACTTGTCTTTCCAGTGAATTGCGCTCAGAAACACTCACCTCAGTAACTCTTGGCAAGCCCACAGTACCCATGTACAGCCCTGGGACTCAAGGTCGCCCACCCACATGAACCAGCCCCAGGGCTGGGTTCTCGCACCGCTTCCCGAAGGACAGCCCCAGCCATGAGGGGCAAAAAATCGTTCCTTAGACTCACTGCCCTGGTCACACATGACATGTGGCACTGTGGTTGCAGCTGGCCCTCCACTGGCCTCAGGAGAATCATGAGTTTTAAATGACAGATTTTCTCTAAATAAATTTCTATTCAATATAGCTGAAATACTTTACCATTTTTCTAAGATACCAAGATTTGGGCCCACAAATAAATTTGTACTGAAATTCAGGTTGCAAATTGCAAATCTCTGCTCGGGTATCCCTAACTACTCAGAACAGGGAAGAATGAAGTCTGGCTGGAAACACAGTCAAGTGCTTACAGGGCTACCACGCCATCCTCTACCAGAGTACCTGTCTGGGCAGAAGTCTTTGACAAGGATTCCACATGTCTCCCTCCCCCTTCTGCCCCATCCCCACAGCCACCACCCACGGGCCCTATTCTGTCCTCTGCACTTTGTTCACTTCTTCCCTCACGTCGCTTCTTGCTCAGGAGCCATGACTGTTCCATTTCCTGAGCACTTCTGTCTAGAGGTCAGGCCCCCGGTGACCAGGTCCCCCACACTTCCTGGCCATGCACCCTTTCCATCCTCCTGCCTGGGCAGCGGCTAGGCAGCAGATAGGCCCGACCTGACGTTACCTACAGCAGCCTTGGCAGTGGGCCTAATACCAAAGAGCCTGCCATCAGCCTTTCCCACAGTCCATGCCTGCCCACAAGCCTCGCCCACCAGGGACCCAGGATCTGAGGTCCGTCACTAGGACCTGGGCTCCAAAAGTCCTCTGTCCCCTGTAAGCCTGAAGATGCCCTGCCTTCTGCATGTACACATGGTAACACCCAACTCCACCTCCACACCTGCCCCAAGTCATCACGGCTTCCTAAAACACGAACACTGCCACCACGTGAAGTGACTGGAAGAGAAGCTCCAATGGGCTGTCACCTCACAAGGATCTTTGCAGAACTTTTCTAACAATGACGAAATCTGTCAATTCCTTGATAAGAAAGGGTCTTAAGAAATTCGAGAGTATCGCAGTCACTTATCATTTGCGGAAGGCCCTTTCTGAAGAAATGCACTGCAATGTCAGTGTAACATAGAGTAAATCTATTGTAATGAAACAACTCTTGTAAATAATTTGCCACCTAGATTTTTTTTTTTTTAATATATTAGGGAAAAGGGTAGGGGGACAAACCAATTATGCTTCTCCAAGAAAATAATACAAAGAAACTTGATTTATTCTCTCACAAGTGGGGAAAAGTGCCGGGAAGCTATAGTATATCTTAGGTCAATTTGTGGCCAAATGAAATCTCATAAAATACTGGATTGGGAATCAGGAGACCCACGTTTGAATCTCCTTCACCATCAACTGAGGGGTGCCCAGTGGAGATAGAGTCTACCTGGGCCTCCGGGTTCTTCTCTTTATGAAAAGACCAGATGCAGCTGAATGTCCACACATAAAGCCCCAAGACTATGATACCAGTGGACACTTAAATCACCAGGCAAGAGAACCGAGATAAGCCAAACCCTGTCACATCCTGCAATTTAAAAGAGTATTACAAACTTGGAAAACATAGGACATGAAACCTGCCATTAGCATGGCACTTGAAATCGTCTGAGACTAAAAAAGCAAAATAATATACCATTAGTGAGATGGTTCGTTCTTGTCAGGAAGAAAATGAACCAATGTCACCTGTCAGAATCCTGCAGTAAAGTGCAGTCAAGTGCTTACAGGGCTACCACGGCCCCACACAAAGTAGCTCTTTTTCAGGAACCAAGTCATAAGAAAGTGCTTTTTCCACCAGCTGGGATGCACGGGGTATAGCACTGTGAGTGGGGGTCTTCATCACTTTTACCCCTACACGGACAGTGTGCAATTTCCTAGTTTGAATGCACACTGCTTTCTAGGGAGCAATCCCAGTGATTTCCTAAGAGTGGCCCTGACATTTACTTATTTCTTCTTCTTCTTTTTTTTTTTTTTTTTTTAAGTAGACCACCCTCAGCATGGAACCCAAATCGAGGCTTGAACTCACAACCTGAGATCAAGAGTCAGACGCTTAACCCACTGAACCATCCAGGCATCCCAACATTAATTTACTTCTGAGTAACCTCAACAGCTCTCCCACCTGGGGAAAACTGCTGAGTATTATAAAAGCTTTGCCCCAATCCAACTGAGGAAATCATATAGTTTTAGTATCCCAATCAGGCCTTTTCTGTTTGTTTTAAAGACAAGCAGATTATTTGAAGCAAAAGATGGTTTAAGAATATGCTGGGTCCTAGATGCCTGCATGGCGCAGTCAGTTGAGCGTCATGATCTCAGGGTCGTGAGACAGAGCCCCATGTTGGGCTCCGCACTCAGCATGGAGTCTGCTTGAGATTCTCTCTCCCTCTGCCCCTCCCCCCAGCTCACACACACTCTCTCTCTCTCAAATAAATCTTAGGTAGGTCTGCTAATTGTGGTTCTGTAATTCCCAGAGCGCCAGCACCATACCTTCTGTTTTCCAATATCTACCAATTCCACAGAGCCACCCAACTGCTTGATCTCCGCAGCGGCAACTTCCATCATCCTCTTGATTTCGTCTCTTTTCTCGGGCCATGCAGATACACTCTGGATGGCCACCCATTCTGCAAGTTTCTGTTTGTGGATAATAAGCAAGAAGGGATTCTGAAAAGGTGCTCCTTTAAGGAAGAAAGGTATTCATAAATTTGCCAGGTTTCGGGCAGCCAAAGTTGATTTGCTTCCTGCAACCAGTCCATATTTAAACATGATGGCTAGATGTCCAAGAAGAGCTATCATATTTGCTTTTTGTTTAAGATTTAAAAAAAAAAAAAAACCCTGTCTGTATTGACCCTGTATCAAGAACTACAGCATAACAAAAAATGTCAGAATGTGTTTTTAACCATTAAGCATGAGATGAGCGTGAAATGTACAAAGTTCTATAAATAAGTTTATAACTGAATCTAACAAAATTACAACTGCAACATACAGAAAATACCCAACATTTTCACAGTCTAAGTTAGTTATTCATGCTCACCATGGCCAAGTTCTTTAAAGTATAATTTTTAGAATGAGAGCTAAAGATTTCATCTGAAATGTGTCTTCCAAGAATAACTTTAAAGCACAATTCTTTAATGTCAAGAAACAGATTTAATTTACATTACCAAATCATTTAAAACAGATGAAATGCAAAAAAAAAAAAAAAGCTAGAAGTTCTTTAGTCTATATCTACTATAAGAAACTGTAGATGGAGATTAAACAAAAACTCTGATTAGCTCTGCTATTTCTAGAAACATATATACATATATTAAGACTTTCTGTCAAAAGCCAAAAGTGTAACTTACATACTGTAATGAGGAGGCAGAGAAGACCTCTAGGTATCTTTGGTGTGGTGAGAGAGCTGTAAGATCTACTCTCTTAGCGAATTTTAAGTATATAACACAGTATTATTAACTACAGTCACCATGCTGTTATCTTCAATCCCTACTCAGAGGGACTGAGCTTGCTCATAACTGAAAGTCTGTACCCTTTGACTGGCCTCTCCCCATTTCCCCCAGGCCCCAGCAATCACCCTTCTACTTTCTGTTTCTGCATGTTCAACTTTTTAAGATTCCATATATAAGTGAAATCATGCAGTATTTGTCTCACTCTGTCTAGACAGTATACTTAATTTAAATGGCATAGCTCCTACTAGTTTCTTGAAAGTTTCTCTGAGCCCCACTGGATTAAACCTAATTTTAATGTTTACTACAATAAATATTCCCTTACCTTAATGTAGCGATCCTGATTTTCATCGACATACTTAAACAGGGTAGTGAGGGCCGACATCTTTCAAGGAGACCGCACACCTTGAAGGTTCTTGGAAGGAAAAAACACCGGTCAGTCCTGCCTGCGGACGGGCCTGACTGAGAGGCAGTTAGGAAGGCACTTGTTTAAGTTGATAAAGGGCTGCTCCGCCCTCGATGTCATCACGAGGACTCCAGGAAGCAGCAGAGAAGCTTGGGGAAGCAGTTAGGGGCTCAGGGTGATCTCCCATTCTTTTCTCAGAAGGAAAATTATGTGTTAAAATGGCACGTAACTGAAAGAAGGGCCTGAGCTGAAGACAATCTGATGAAAATTAGAAGTAGGTAGTTCCTGGTAACGCTGATTTACCAGCACTTAATTTTTTTTTAAAAGCACACAGAGAACTTCCCATTTACTATTACCACAGAGGAAATAATCCAAGAATCCCAGCAAAAGTGTCACATCCTGTCTGTTACTGTCACAACCCACAACGCAGCAAACAAAACCCAAGGAGAGGTAGATAAATTGTTTTAAAAAGTTGATAATCTGAGCCCAGAAACAGTCAAAGGCAACATGTGACACCTCCACAAAGGCCTGATTAATGATTAAGATAAAGGAGCCTCCGTGGAACCCACAGCCTCCCTCTAGGGTGCATTTGCTAACATCCCGTTTCTCCTGTGTGAGACCCAATACACTCTGCTCCACCTTGCAAGTATAGGGTAAAGGAAATCATCTGACCAGTCATCTTTAAAATCAATAGGCAACAAAAGGATTCTGGTTTGGGGACTTTCAAGATCGTCTCCAACCTCCGACTGATATTTCAAATTCCACCAAGCGGCAAGACTGGCCGGAAGCAGCAATGGGAAGAGCCAGACCACAGCAATACCAAGGATTTCAGAAATGCAGCTGTAGTCACAAGATCCTGTAACATCTAGGTAGTTCTAAAGGCCTGTGGATCGACACACTGTAGTCACAGAGTATTCTTTTCTTGGTATGGGATTCCAAAGTGATTGCTCAACAGAGGAGTGATGTATCTATGGTGACATCAGGCCTCGAGGCTCTTGAGGGGCTTGAGGAAATTACCCTCAATCTGCCTGCAGCAGGATTTCAGTAAGAACAGGTCAAACCACTCAGTTCTTAGAGCCTCCTTCTTCCTCTTCAAACACCCACCCCTGGGCATAAAATATTTACAAACCTCCTAGCCTGGCCAGCTCAGCCTGCTTCAGCTGAGGCTTTTATCTGAAAGACAAGACAGTCCACAAAAAAAGAGGCATTTCATGAGCACTAGTAAGTCAAATTTTCATCTGTCTATCACCAGGAATGCAAACTGAGAAGCTACCTAGGACAATATGCTACACTGGGCACCTTTCACTCGGGTCCCTGGTCGTGAAATGGCACAAATCCCAAGTTCACTGTGCATACTTTTCACTAATGCAGCCAAATTAACCGACGACCTTCGTTGGCTCATTCAAAGATACAACTACCTAAGTTGCACTTTTACCAAAGACTAAACAGAGCACCGGCCTGCTCAGCTCTCCATGCCAAGTCCCCAGGGCTGGCTAAAGAGCAACTCCTTCTCTGAATTAGTAACCTAGTCAAAGGAGGTCAGGCCAGGGCCATTTCCGCCCTCCCACTCCGTTCTGCGTTATTCTTGTCCCAACCTGCCCCTCCTCCCCCACCCAGTACCCAAACCGTGAAATGGAGCCACCTTCAACGCGCGGTGAACCCCACTGATAAAGGTAAAAGCGCTGTGCTGGAGTGAACAAGAGCAAATATTACGCTTCCAAAATAAATGCCAGGAACTCTAGAATTTCCGGGGGGGGCGGGGACATAACTTAAATGATGAAGCTAGGGAGAGGGAAGGGCAAATGAGGCCGGTAGCACCTGGAACCGTCTAGCAATACCTACTAATGGCCTCTTTAGTTCTGAACTTCCCAACCCTTGTCCCTCGGTAATTCGGAGCACTTCGTGGAGTGAACAGACGCACGAATCCTGGCTTTAAACCTGCAGAAGCCAGGGAAGCGGGGGCAGGAACCTCCAATGCGCCCACTCCAGAGCTTGGTCCCAAACATGTGTGCAAACCACCCTTCGCCACTCCTCCCTGCACACAGGAGGGACGCCTCGTGACGCCGGCTCTGCACGAGAAGACCGTCCGGGCCCCCACCCAGGCCGTGCGGGGCCCCGCTCGGGGCAGGACCAGTCGCATCTTCCAAATGAGGAACAGGCTGAGGACACGACCGAGCGAGCCGCCCCAGACCCGCACACTGCAACCTTCCGGCCTCAAAGGCCAGCGGGACCCAGCGGGACCCAGCGGGACCCAGCGACCCCTGACCCCGGGCCTCCGCCGGACCTAGAGAGGCTTTAGTTTCCTGCGGGCCGCGTCAGCAGCACGCGGCTGACGGTCCTCCGCGCGTCCTTCCCGCCGCCCGCAGCCCGCAGCGCCCCGGACCCTCGGGAAGGCCTTCTTTTAACGGGGACACCCTCCCTTCCCGTCCCTGCTGGCCACGCGGACCAGGCGGTGGGCCAGGCCGCGGCCCAGCTCCCACCAGCTGAGGCGCGACTCCGCTGTACACCGAGACCCACCCCCCTGGGGCCCGCCGACTCGGCCCGCAAAAGCCCCTCACCCCTCAGCGGCCGCCGCGCCGGTTCCGCACCACGTGCCCGGTCACGCCCCCGGCGCGGGCCCGCCTCCCGCTGCCCCGCCCGCCAATCCCGGGCCTCGCTCGGAGGGCTGGCGCGGCGTCCCGCCCTGCGCACCAATCCCCGGCCTCGTCCGGAGAGCCGGCGTCGCCTCGCCCCACGTCGCCCCGCCCACCAACCGCCGGCCTAGCTGGAGAGCCGGCGTCGCTCCGCCCCACGTCGCCCCGCCCCGCCCCGCTCACCAATCACTGGGCTTGTTGGAGAGCAGGCGTCGCCCCACCCCGCCCCGCCCCCCAGCTTTGGAGTCGGGCGGAGGGGGGCGATTCCCAGATTGAAACCCTGACCTCGCTTGCTTCCTTCTCCCTGCTTAGTTCCGCCGGCCCGGGTTCGGGTCCGTGGACGGTGATTTCCTGAGGTCCCAGGAGGGGGCCCACACCCCACCCTCGGGCCGCTCAGGCTGGTCCCAGGCGGTGCCACCTGCCGCAGCCTGGCCCTGGGGGTCACAGGGCCCCACCGGCCCCCTTTCCGAGGGAGGAGGCGTTTTAGGATTTAAATCCTCTGATCCCAGGAAGTGATGACGGAAGAAGACCCACCATTTGTTTATGCTTATCTTTTAAACAGCAGGACCCTGGGATAGTGATTATCTCCGTGAGAGTATTCCCAAAAGAATTTGGCAAAACCTGTACCCCTCCCCCATTCTTTCCTTTTTTTTAAATAGCAAGCTTAATAGTTGCTGTAAATATTTTAAAATAAAATGACCCTCCCTAAAATTTTCTATCTATATCCCTCTCAGAATGTTGTCAAATTTAACTTTTTGTTGATTAAGTTCGAAAAATGAGGGAATATTAAATACTAAGGTGTCCCAATTCTACTCCCCCGCCCCATCAAGTCAAACTGTACCGTAAAGAGCTTTTAAGGGGGGAAATTTGTCTATATTCATTAGTATTCATTTTTAACTATTTTTTTCTTGCTGGGTTTTTTTTTAAATTTTAGTTGAAGTAGAGTTGACATAAAATGTATTAGTTTCAGGTGTACAACCGTGATTCAACAATTAGAACCATTAGGAAGTGCTCACCACCATGAGTGTAATTACCATCTGTCATCATACAAAGTTATTACAGTATTATTCCCTAAACTGGAGTTTACATCTCTGTGACTTTTTTTTTTTTAATAACTGGGAGTTTGTAGCTCTTAATCCCCTTCACCTAATTTGTTCATGCTCCTGCAACTTCTGTGGCAACTGCTACTTTGTTGTCTACATTTATGAGTCTGTTTCTCTTTTGTTGTTTTTTAGATTCCATGTAAAGATGAAAGTATAAGGTTTTTGTCTTAGCATAATGCCCTCTAGATTCATCCAGTTTATTGTGAATGGCAAGATTTCGCTCTTTTTTTTTATATAGCTGGGTAATATCCCACTGTGCATATATCTCACATCTTTATCCATTCATCTGTTGATGGACACAGGTTACTTCCATATCTTGGTTATTGTAAATGATGCTGCAATAAATAAAGGGGTGCATGTATATCTTCAAGTTAGTTTTTGTTTTCTTTGGGTAAATAACGAGAAGGGCAATTTCTGGATTGTATGGCACTTCTATTTTTCATATTTTGAGGGACGTCCATGCTGTTTTCCAATTTGCACCAATTTACCAATGTCACCAATTTTTTTAACCACTTTTTTTTTAGCAAAGTTGCACCAATTTACACTCCCACGAATAGTGCACACAGGTTCCTTTTTCTCCACATCCTCACCAATGTTTGTTATTTCTTGTGTTTTTTATATTAACCATCAAACTGTAACATTTTAATACTTGATAGTCTTTTATTGATGATCCTGTCATACTTCTCTGCAAAAGAATATGGAAATTTAAATTAATATTTACTTTTCTATAGCTAAAAGCTCTAAGTGTTAAAGTTTTTTTCTGGATTAAATTCTCATAATCATTTTTCATATATGATTGATAAAACCACCTAAAGATATTACAGTTCACCCTTGAACAACACAGGAGTTGGGGTACCAATCCCCCTTGCAGTTGAAAACCCATTTATAAGTTTTGACTCCCCAAATCCTTAACTACTAATAGCCTACTGTTGACCAGAAGCCTTACCGATAACATAAATAGTTGATTACCGTATGTTTTATATGTTATATGTATTATATTCTATATTCTATAAAGTATATATAAAGTATATTCTATAAAGTAAGCTAGAGAAAAGAAAATGTTAAGAAAATTATAAGTAAGAGAAAATATATTTACAGAACTGTACTGTGTTTATCTGAAAAAAATCCTCATATGAGTGGACCTGTGTATTTCAAAGCCATGTTGTTCAAGGGTCAACTGTAGATGTTTGGCAAAGAGTTTTTAGATATTGAAAGTCATTTATTGGAAATGTATCCTTTAATCATATCTATTGAGCTTTTTAAAAATTAGTCCAGATGTCTATAAGTGAGATTATTGCTGGTATGAGACAGTGTTCAGTGAAAAATACAGCAAAAAGAAGGGATTTGGAGTAGAATCTATAACACATTATCATTAAATTTATCAAAATTTTATAGGTATGTGGTGGTGATAAGAACAAAGAAACTGTTGGTAAATAAGAGCAAGGGAGAGGCTTCAGTCCAAGTAAAAGTGAATATTATCTATGTACCTAATAATCATTTGGCAAAAGTTGATGAAAACATTTCTCCTACAAATCTGAATTAAGATTTGTTAAGAAAATACAGAACTTACTCTTGATATGGAACTCTTTTACTTGGAAATATAATGTTAATTGTCAGAAGGTGGACCTTCCACTTCCTTCCCCCTGAAATAATGCAAAATATGTAGCTAACAGGCGTCCTTGATTAAGGAGGCGTTCTCCAATAATAATATACTGTGGTATTTCAAATTGCCCCTTTGAAACATTTGAGGCTTTTCTTTAAGTTTTTATTTTTAAGTAATCTCTACGCCCAACGAAGGGCTTAAAATCACAACCCCAAGATCAAGAGTGGCACACTCTTCCAACTGAGCCAGCCAGATACCCCCTATTTGAGGCTTTTTGAGTTAAACGCACAGCACTTAGAATGATGCCTGGCACTGAGTGTCTTGGTCTGTCTGGGCGGCTATACCTACCATGGACTGGGTGGCTTGTATGTGACAGGAATTGATTCTCACAGCTGTGGAGGCTGGAAGTCCAAGACTGCAGTGCTGTCAGATTTGGTGTCTGCTGAGAGCCTGGCTTCCTGATTCTCTGCAGATAGCTGTCTTCTCTCTGGGTCCTCACTTGGTTGCAGGGGTAAGGGAGCCCTGTGGGGCCATTTTCACAATGACACAAATCCCATTCATGACCTAATCACCTCTCAAAGGCCCCACTTCCAAATCGCTTTAGGGATCAGGTCTCAACATATGAATTTGCTGGGAGGGGGGGACACATTCAGTCTATACCACTGTCTTGAAAGGAGAGCAGGAAGGCAGAAAGCAGGACAGCAGGTACCAGCCCTGTCCGCCCTATGAGAGAGGACATATGGACTTGGAGCAGATGGAAATTGGGGCCCTTAAAACTCTGAGACCTCCTTTAAAAGTCCTCCTGTCATGCCAGGTATCTCAGTCTGATGACCACTGCCTTACACCGCTCTTCAGTAAATGAGCCGGTATTCTAACCTAAGTGTGCACAGCTGGGAATCCCCAGCAGGTGGCCCTGCAATCCATTTGTTTTTGGGTAAAGGAACCTTCGCAGATCACTTTACAGCAAGGAATCTGATCTTAGCTTAGGAGCTAAGTCAATAGTTTTTCTCTTCTCTTCCTGACTTTTTAGGAACAGGGACACCATGGAAGAACACAAGGAAAGAGGTATGTGGACGGTTGACCAGAGGTTGGGTGCT